CTGTCTGTCTCTGTCTGTCTGTCTGGTGAGGTGTCGAAACTGTGGAACACTGTTTCGTAGGTAAAAGTGCAGGAGGCTGCCCTGCCCGCAGGCCGTGCTTGCTTTTCGCTGGGCCTCCGTCATAATCTTGGTTCACATCTGCAAGCAACGGGTAGTTACAGTAAACGGATTACGGGCTGGTTTCATATGAGCCACATACCTATTGGGATTACGAAGGGTCAAACACTGTCTGGTTGGATGGCATGATTTGCGTGAAGGGTATGGTCAACATGGTTGCAATGCCAGTGATATGGATTGCCCATTCTCAATCCCACCTTCTAAATACTAGGCTTCACAATCGAGCTCCTGGGACTTGTTTGCGAGAACCTTGAGCATGGCTCGTAGATCCTGGCCGCTGGGAGATCGGTGCTGGCAGACATCAGTGACGGACACAGACGTGTTGCTACAGTTCCGGCCCCCATTCGGAAATAACATCTGTCTTCGCACGACAAGAGGGCAGTGCATCGCAACCGTTCCCAACCAGCAAGCAAGTCTAGTGGCTGGGGCCGCTCACAAAGTGTCCTACTTCAGGCAAACAGTCTACAGGCCCGGGGTGTCCAGCTTCGGAGGTACATGTGCGGCCCGAGCGGCATAGCTGCACAACACATCCCACGCCCGGATGCTTGCAGTAATGAGGCATGGCATGGAGGCGAAAGTATTTCTGCTCATCGTCGCTTCTCTACAATGTAGATCAAGAGCGATTACGATAGCAACGCTTCACCTCAACATCCTTGATTCAGGTCCTTCACCTCCTGCTCCATCTTTGCAAGGGGAATGCCTCGCAGGGCAAGTGAAGGACCGATGACACGGATCAAACGATTCACCGCAAGGACAGCGCCGAGCTTGTATTGCTTCTACTCCCAATTGTCAGTGTGAGTACTTTGCCAACATCGCAAGGTGATGATTCCCATGACTACGACTTTGGTTTTGCTCTTTTGATTTGCTTAAACTCATCTCCTCGGCCATAGAATTAGAAAGCTATTTGCTGCAAGCTGGGTCTGGCCTCTACCCGACCTTCCACTCGAAGACGAAGGCAGAGAAGCAGACTTCTGGTAACTGATACTCGAGGCAGTGGAACGAGAGGAGCTCAGCGACGATTGTTTCCTTTGCAGAGGGTCGGTTTCTGAGGAATGAAGGTTCTGGGGCGAAGATGTCGATGTGCAAATGATACTTCGACCGCTGGCATTGAACAGCCGTGCGGCATGAGCGCAGCAAAACTAGACATACACTCTCATGAAGCCCAAACCCGGACCACCCTGTCGGTCAACAACTCAAACGCAAGTGTGCCTCCTCTAAGCCTCTAACCGTCTCGGGGGTCGTGCATAGATCTGCTTATGGTTGGAACAGTTCGAGAAATATGGGGGGTTTCCGGAAATAAGGGGACCCTAATATAGTACCCTAAATAGTAGGATCCCTATTATAAGGACCCCCCAAATAAGGTACCCTAAGTTTCGGAAACTCCCAGATTGGTGAACTCACGAGATCATCGCGATGGATGGCGGAACGATCTCGAGTAAACCCCAAAGGAAATTTTTCCTCAGTAAGCACCCGCCGTAAATTTAAATCCAAAGGTCCTAAGGTCCGAAAACCTCAACCCTAAATCCAAAGTCCCAACGCTCCTTAACCCTAAAATCCTAGGTCCTAAGCCCCAACACTCCCTAACCCTAAATTCCCTAAATCCAAAGCCCCCAAACCCTGAACCCAAAGTGAAAGCTCAGGGGCTGATACATCCTGGGCGCCTCCGGGTCCTGCGGGTTTCCATCCTGCAGAAAGACCGAGGCGGCGTAGCTCGACTTCGGGTTTTTTTGCCTCCTACTTAGAAAGGATGTGCCCGCATTGCAGGGTGTTTAGGGTTTAGGGTTTTGGGTAGGTTGGGGGATTACAGGGCTTGGGGGGCTTACGCTCTCACAACTCGGACATGCCAGGCGGGGCTTAGGGGGTTTCAGCACTCACTCTCGGACAAGCCTAGGCGAGGTTCCTGGTACGCGACGACTGCACTTTGGCACCAGAGACGGCTCGTATCACCATCTCCAAAACATTAACTGCTGCCCGGTTTAGGGTTTCGGGCTGGGAGGTTCCTTAGGGGATAACTGGGATATTGGGTCCTGATAGAGGATTCTGCAAGGCCGGGTTCTGTATGGGGTCCCCTGTTTCCTGCAAGTCGAGTTTCAGCCATACTGCAACAAAACCCGCTGGCGTTGAAGCTGCTTTGACAACGATGGTTCTCTTTGTTTTTCTGCTGGGGTGAGCAATGCTAGTGCTTTTGGATTGACGAGTCAGCTCTCCTCGCAGTCGTCCTCGTGGGCGCCCTTAGGAGACACCACATCAAGCAGATGGGGTGGTACTTGCTGAAGTCAGGCAAGTCCACAGTAGGCTCTTGAGGATTGCAGTGTGTCTGAAGTTTCTGCAAGTGCCACTTGTGGCACGAAGCTTCGACGCTTCACAACTAAATTGAAGTAGCAGATCTTTCCTTTGTAGCTTGTGGGCAACTCTGTTATTTGAAGAGGGGTGGCGGATGCCAGTGTAATGCCTGAGAGCCACAATAAGGATGTAGCAAGCTCGATTGGAAAAGGAGGCCCTGGGAGTGAGCATGCGAGTGCATATGCGTTTGCATGGATTGCAGTCGATCCAAATGCTGTCAGAGAGCCGTTGGCAGCCGCGGCTTCTGGAAGCTGACACCCAGCATTCCATGCATCGGGCCGGTCTGAGGGAAAGGAATGGCAGCTGGTTCCAAGCACCCATATGAGACGCGCTTGCTGCTCAAGCATCAATGCAGCATAAACCATTCGTTGCAACTAGATTCCTGACCCGAGAAAAGTTAAGATGCGGCCCCAAATTTGCTACTCAGCCTGTGCGGCAAATATCCATAAACTTTGGCTCTAGCTCGGCTCCGCTTGCCAAGCCCTAAACCTTTCACCAAGGAAACCGCTCGCCACTGGCTCGACTTGATGACAAGAGGCCGGCACTGATTGCTTGGAAGACTGGTGCTCTGAACGATCGGAGTCGCCTGGGACTGACAAGGCCGAGGAAAAACCGACGGCTTCTGGCTGATATCACACCATTTAAAAGGCAAGAGCCATTGTCTGAACCGACTGTATGAGTACGCATCTGCAGCTCATTTCGCACTAGCCACATGGCAACTCCTGGTCGGTGAACTTTTCATGCGGAGGCTTAGCTTACTGGAAGACCTGGGCAACAAGCCTGCAAAGGTGCATGCCGAAGCTCTTCGGTGGGAGGTGCTCCGTGTAAGTGTCGACACACTGCTCGCCGGTGTGCCGGGCATCGAGAGGCTTTTCCTTCAAACATGTTTCTGTTTTGCCATCTCTGGCCAAGGATCCTCTGGCATGGCTTCGGGCCCACTTCGAATTACAAGAATATGCCTATATGCCAGCACAAGATAGCTCAATACCCAAATTGTTGCAGGAGCCCTCCACCTGCTTCCCGGCAAGGTCCAAAAGTGATCCTCTAGCGAAGAAGATCCCAAGTCCCTTTCTCGGCACCACCTGGCCTCGCAAAGAACAGATTGGTCGATAACGATAGAGAGCTCAGCAACAAAGCAAAGGAGATGGCGAAAGGAAGTGGGAGTTTGCGAAAGCAACAAACGCAACAAACACCAAACCAGCACCAGCACCGGCATCGCACCAACACCATCAACAACAAGAAGATTCAACGACACGCAACAACAGCAACGGCAACGCAACAGAAACGGCAACAGCAACAGCAACAAGAGCACCAGCACCACCAGCAACGGCAACGGCAGCAGCAGCAGCAGCAGCAGCAGCAGCCACAACAGCAACAGCAGCAACATCCACAGCGATAGCGGCAGAAACAAGAAGAAGAAAACAACAAGAACAAGAACCGCCATCAAAAGCAGCGACAGCAGCAGAAGAGGCAGCAAGGACAGAAGCATCCAAACAAGGTCATGTAACTACCAGCAAAACCAAGCTCATGAATCCAGGCACTGGTAGCTGCTGCTGCTGCTCGACAGCGTTGACTCGGAGACAGCTGACGCGGCACGTGGGAAGGGCTGTCCTAGCGGCTTTGGGCTTTGGGAGGAAGGCTCGGGGGCTGTGAAGGCAAAAGTGGTGGAAAGTAACTTGCTGCGTGGTTTGCCAAGTTCAGGTTGAGGGCTGATCAGCAGAACTTACAAGCCTCTGCTTCAGGTTTCAACGACCGGAGCTTGCCGTGTCTGCTCGGGAGACTTGACCAGCTCAAGTGTCGAGAAAGCGCAGTTCCGATTGAAGCTCAAATCGCCTGGCACCACATGCTTATTATAGGAGATATTATTGACTATAGGTACGCAGAGGCAATTGGCCGCGAATCGCTGGATAGACCTTACAAACAGAAGCTGTGCCAACTGGCAAGATCTTAGGCTGTAGGCTGTCCGAAAGACCTTCACATAGATAAGGAAGCGTGTTTCGCTTAAGGGGACAGGCATCTTGAATTGTGACCCGAAAAAACTAAACAAAACCTCCACACTCTTTCACGGTCCATGGCGACCCAAGCTTTGCGATGACCAGCGCTCAAGGGGTGTGGCAGAGCACGGCGTCAGGAAGCGTGGTTCCAAAAGGGCCTCAGGATTCGCAGGCGTTGCCATGCGGCCAGGAGAGCACAGAATTCAGAGTTTAGTTCCGACTTGTTGAAAGCTCTAAATACCTTTCCAGTCGGAAGGTTCCAGGAAGGGCTCCATACTTGAGACGCGCCCCGTTCCAACGTGATCAAACGCATCTACATCTCAGGAGCTCTTTCCCCATCGATCTACGTAAGCAAACTTAACGGAAACTCAGTTGTTCCATCCGAGGTGCGCCATGGATGCTGGACTTTGACGAATCCTCTCATGCAGCAAGACTGATTGAGGGTTGGCGCTGGGCTGTCCAGTCCAAACAAACATACGACCCACGCGATCGAAAAAAAGGCATCTCATCAACTCCAACAATCACACCACCGAAGACCCCAAACAGTCGGTACGAAATGAAGAGGGGGAGACAACCGATTGAATGAAAGCCCGCATCGGCCAACCCCAGCAGTCCCAAATGAAGTGAGACAAGGGGAGCGAAGGGTTGAAAACCCCGGCATTGGCCGCGCCGAGAAGCGACCCAGTGCGAAACGTCAAGAATTCCCTCTCAAATTAACAACTAACACAGAATCTCAAATCAGTGAGCTGTTGGGGGAAACCAATAATTTCAAGGGAACCTTCACACGGGTAGCTTCTGGGCTTCAATCTGTCACACAAACTTGTTTTTCAAATCCTACGCCCTATCACGAACAAGCGGGCAGAGCTAGAATCCGATTTCTGGCTTCATGCTTAAAGTTGGAAGGTCGAGCTGAAGCAGTCGTTGTATGTCTTTGCGCTGTCGGTGTCGTGGGGTCTTGGCATCTCGACTATTAGGTCAACTGCAACAGACCCATAGCCCAATGTACTTGCGAAGTTTGGGCTGCGCCTCGAATCGGACACAAAGAGTCAGCCACAAAGCCCCGTTGGCCGCAGAGGGCTTCTGAATCAAGCAGGGATGACCTTGAGAAGGCAGAGCGTTCTGGCAGGTTTGTGGATAGCGTTCAAGGCTCGGCTTTCATCGATGATGCTGCACCCCCTGCACGAGCTTACCTTGAAGTTGTAGAAGACCGTAGAATCCTACGAAGCCTAGCTTGTTGGCCGTGACGAGTTGAGGCGACCTCAAGACGACATGCTGCACAAACAACGTGGGGCCACGCGACTTCACCGACTTCCTGACCAAACCCTGGCCTCAATGTGACTTACCCTCAGACACGGTTCATCACGTCTAGACATGATTATTCAGGGAACTTAGGCACACTCAGGTGGCATGCTGCTACCTCCGAGGAATGTGTGGGAACGATCCGGGAATGTGCCAAGTGGCCAAATCGCTTGTGAGGGCAGACACGCGCGTAAAGCCCATTCAGGTGCCTCCGAGCTTGCAATGCACGATGAAGCATTGCGCTGTTATGCACAGGCTGCACTGACTTCAGAACTTAGATCCTGCGATACGAAAAAACTGCCTCCTTATATGCTCACTAATAGCCGCTGGCTGCCTCGTGACAACAACTGCCAGACTACACGAAACTTCCGTCTTCACATGACTCGGGATGGTTCTCCGGAAAGATTCCTGGGGACACCGGCCGTTGCTAGTTTGGCGTCAGATGCGTCAGTTAGTCCGTCTTCTGAATGCTGCGAGAACGAGAACTAGTACACTGAAAGGCCAGAAGTCATGATTCAGCTAAGTAGTGGCCGGACAGCTGACAAGAGTAACCAAATGAACAGGTGGGACAAGCTGTCTCGCACGTGCAGGTCATCATGCATGTTATTGAATATAGCGCTGCTTTGGTCGAGAATGGCCTCATGTGGCTGCTCTGCAGCCCGCCCACAACAAGACGAGTTCCCACACGCCAGTCCTGATGAACCTGGGTGCAGACGCAACACATGTCTGCTCAAGGGAGGGAGAAGTTATCTTCACCGACCTCGTTGAGATGCACACTTACAGGCAGCTCATGCAGATCTCCCCTCCTGCATGGCATGCTACAGCCCAATGGTGCCGTCTTATTGCTAGCGGCTGGCACTGTCACAGCAGGCAACTGTGTTGACCACTTCTGCTGCCAGCCTCTGCTGCAATCACAATGTTACACGCTGAGGCACTGGAATTACCTCGCGGAACTTGGCGATGCACTCGCCCATGGAAAAGCTGCGTGAGGCATCCAAAACGGCCACCTTACTGCCAGGAGCCAGCTTGCTGACTTCAAGTTGCAAAGCGGCTTTGCTACATACAACCCACAGCAACCAGGAAGAATCAGGAAGAAGTACCTCCCACCACGCATCACATTCCAAACTAGTAACTAGAGTAACTAGAGGCTTCAACCTCTTGCGCCTTCTGCATTTGCAGCATGAGCCCTTGCCTCCACCTTATCATACAGTTGCAGTGAGCAGAGATCTTCGACTACACGACCTACGAAGGCGGTACTCAGCATAAGTTGGCAAACGCTTTTGAACCTGTTCGCGGCCATCGCTTGCCAAGCGTCACTGCAGAAATCTGCATGCACTTCCTGCAGGGAAGGGGGAGCAGCAGCGCGTGCAATATATTGCTGAAATATGTGAGGGGGCAGTATAGCTGATCTCCCAAGCCTACTCTGCAGCTCCAATGTAGAAGCTTCGGGTAGTGTAGGGTGCTTGTCCGTGCAGTGCTTGCACTTGTCAATTTCTAGAGAGCCCTGAGAACCCAGCTTCTGCCCACATGCGGCCGAAGCACACGACCCTGCTGGGATCGAGACAGCAAGTAAAGCCCATTGCTTTGAGGTTCAAGGCCCGGGTAGATACACCTGTTTATGAACCGACAAAAACCCTGCCCGAAAGTGTTTCTGCCCTCAGTTCTGGCCTTGATCACTGCAGAGCACAGCTGGTATTGCGAGCTGACACCGCGGCCCAGGATAACCAGGTCCCCTTGCCTTTGGCGCACATGGTTTTCGAAGTGGAGAGAAACCGTCTTGACACTATACACCAAAGGATAAGCAGAGGCAGTTACATGAGGCTGATCGAGTACAGGAGATCGGCAAAAAGCCGAGAAGTCTGGAAGTTAAACAGTCGTGACAATTAAGCTCCTGGTACATCAACCCAAAGGCCCTGATATATGTACGTCCCAGACCCCTCAACAGTCCCAAGTAGTACAAATAGCTACAAAACTGAGGCCCGCGGCTCTGGCACCTGGCCACCACAAAGGTCATCACCCAAAATCCGCTCATCTCCCGGGGCGAGCTCCTCGGAGCGGAAGTGTGCGCGTGGTGAGTTTGGCGGTGGGGCAAAGAGCCCAACTCCGCTTGTTCTTGGGAAGGACCCGCTTTAAGAAAGGCATGCCCTGCTTCGCCAAGCTGACGATTGTTCGGACAGATAAAGAGACAGAAAGAAAGGAAATCAGGAACAAGATTATGTTTAATTGAATTGTGCATCATTTTCCGGGGTTACATATGTCCCCTCGCCAAGCGACGGGAATTGGAAGCAAACCGCCTCGATGGCTGTGTTTGGGCGATTCCTCGTCGACAGTAATGATCGACGCGGACCTGCACACCTGGTCAGCTGTGATATCGCCCACTGCGGAGTGCTGGAACTGCGCCGGCTCAGGCTATGTCAGTTTTATGCGGGGGGCTATCAGGCTGTCTAGCTGGAAGTCACTCGGAATCTATGAGTATAGTGTTTCTCGTCCGACGGTAACTCGAAGTTTCAAACTATTCTGGGCAAAACTTGCTCCAGCTCTGGATTCGGAGCAAACGCCCCCGGATAATTTCGCAAGCGAATCCCGATCTCCATTTCGACCGGTGGCTGTTGGATGCTCCTCCTCCGGCGACTTCTGCGCCTCAACCAACCTTGAAACGAAGCGGTCGTAATGCTCAGTATAACATGTAATTTCTGATTTGTATCTGCACGAACTATACCCATCCCAATAGCTGGTCTGGCAATGGAGTTACCCAGACAAACAGCGGGCCTCTCAAGTCTTGCGGCCTTCGCCCAAAAAAATCTGCCTAGGAGAGCCGCCAGCCCACAGGCGACAGATTCCAAGCATCAACACCACCACCAAAAGAGGATACAATTTATCTTTGAACTGCATGAAATCTGAAAGACTATGCTTTTGAATCAGGCGACGGCACTGCTATGCCGAAGTCCTACATCCCACGGCCCGACAGCCCCGGGCTTGGTCAAGCCGAGGGACCAAGAGAGCAGGCCCAAAAATCCACCCGAGCAAGAGGACGGCGCTGCCGGTGGAGCTCGCGCCGTCTGGGCGTCATGCCGCATGGTTTAGTCTAGTCTTCCCGCTCCCCGTTCGGAGGCAGTTCAACTGGTTTCAGGTTCGGGGAGTCCTGAGTCTTGAAGCATGCCAAAAAACTGCATGTCTCCTCTCTGTGGTGGTGCCCACACAACAACCTTCCCAGCATTGATGTTTTTTTGCTGTGAAACTAGGCGCCTTTGAATTTGGGCTGGTGCAATCGCCAGGACTTGCGAGCAGGACAAGCTAGCGCTCAGCGCTGAGCTCCCATGCTCCAAGGGGCAAGGCTGGAGGGATTGTGAAACTGTAGGATGCAATCTCAAATCATCTCAGGTCTTTCTGACGGAAGGTGTTCGTACTTCTGGCCTTGCGCGACTTGCCTGCCCAGAGCATGGGAGAACCGTAGCCCTGATCACTGCCAAACTCACCCTGAGGACCGCAGAGGAGAGGCAATGTGTCCGGACCTGCCATGTCGGCGAGCCCTCGGTCTGAACGTAGCGCAGGCATTGAAGCAGCACGGGCTGACTCCATCTGAGCTGCTCCGGGCGTTGGCGGAGCTCTTCCACTTTGCGGTGCCGCCGTGTTCTCGGCAGGCTTCCCTCCACTCGCAGGAGGCACAGGCTTTGGGGCAGGCCTCCCTATCATCTCCTTGAAATTCCGGAAGCCTTCTGGCTTCTTGACAAAATCCCCCAGCTTCTGATCCGTCCACATGGATGGAAGCCGCCGCACCTCTGTCAAGTAGTCTTTGTTACCGATTCGCGTGAGCTTCACACTACCTGCAGCTTGGGGAGCTGCGCTCTCCAGCTCTAGGGCAGGTGGCTTCTTGCCTCCCCTGCCTTCCTCCTCCAAGCTCTTTTTGCTCTCTTGTATCACCTCATCGATCTCCAGGTATAGGAGAGCTGTGTTCGTGTCCGAATCCACAGCACTGTCCAGTCTGCAGAAGTTGCAACGCCCGAAGGCGCCTGCTTCCCTGAAGTGATTGCTAGCATCTCGCTTCTGGCTGCCGGCATTGAGATTGCACTTGATGTTCACTCCAGCAGGACAATACAGGAAAAGGGAGCAGAAGCCCTCGGTGGAGTCTCGATAGCCCATGGGGTAGAAGATGAACTGCATGCCATCGATCCCGGCGGCCGAGAAAACTGGGCTGCAAACGGGCTGGTCATGGGGGAAAAGCCTGGGAAGCTGGTCGACTTCGGATAGGAGCCATTCGACCCGCTTCACCATCTTGCACTGCATCTTGTCAACCTCCTTCCTCACCTGGGATAAGACTCGATGGTTGACATGGCGCTGGAAGGACAGCACGCCGTTGCTGTACACATTCCGGGTGCTCTCCTCTGCACCCTGCAGAGGTTCGACTGGAGCTGAGGTCTCGCCAGTTGCCTGGCTGACCTCCTTGATGGCTTCCAATATCTCCACACCGACGTGGAGCGAGTCATCCTCATTGATGTGGTCCTGGAGCAGACCCATCTTCCGTGCGCCTGCAGGGCCGTCGGACACTGGCGACTTTTCCATTGTGGCCCACTTTTCGCCCACAAAGAAGCGCAGGTGCATCTGCACGCCTTTTGGACACCACAGGTACAGGCTGCAGTTGTCGGGGCCCGCGGAATGCCTCCCAGATCTCACGAAGACGCGCAGCTCCAGCTGTAGATCTCTGCAGCCAGCTGCTGCGAACTTGGGAGAGAAGTAACTTCTTTGTCGAAGCGTGGAGGAGGGAGAGTCCGCCTCCGGGCGGTTGCCTGGCGTGCTGAGTGGCAGCAAAGAGCTCGCGCCCTTCAAATGCCATTCGACACGCCGGGCCAGGACTTGGTCCAGCATCTCAAGGAAATCCTGATGCTGGTCTGCACGATCGTCCATCTGTGCCAGCCTGTTCCAGGACTCGGTCTTGAAGTCCGTCAAAGCTTGTGACACCTCGTCTCTGGATGCTTGCGTGTCACTCGCGGCTGTGCTGCGGCATTCCGCGAGTAGCTGATCCAAGCGCGCAACCTCGGCGTCCAGCTCCTTCCGGTCTTTCTCAGCAGATTGCTTCATCTGCCGGTCGACCTGGGCCTCAGCTTCGACGGCTGCTTCCAGGTTCCTGCTGAGCATCGTGCAGATCTCCGCGTCCTTGTTTGCTGCCTCTTGGCGGAACTCGGAGAGCTGAGCTGTCAACTGGGCCTCGATGTTGGAAGCCTTCTCTGAAACCTCCTTCGTCTTGGTCTCAATCAGCTGCGTGAGGTCCTGGCGAAGTGAGGCAAACTCCTCCTCAATCTTTGCGCACAGGGACGTCAGCTCATCCGCGAAGGCACTGCGCACATCTTCGTCCAGCTGCTGGATCTGTCCATCGAGCTGGCTTTGCCCGCTGGTGCGTGCTTCCTCCTCCTCGGCGAGCGCCCCCAACACTTCGTTCTTTAAGTCTGCTACTGCAGTCTCCAAGTCTGCCTGTCCGGCTTGTTGAAGCCTCGACACTGCCTCTGCTGCCTGCTTCGCATTCTGCTTAACGATTTCTTTCAGGTCGTCCACATTGTTTTGCACACGCGTGGCCGGCTGGCAATTCTCTTGGGCCTCAGCGCCTGCTTTGGCGACCTTGGCTATGAGGGCCTTAAGCTCTGCTTTCGCCGCGTCCAAGTCATCCACTGTTGCATTCAATATCTTGGGCATCTTGCCTGCTCAATCGAGTCCTTCAGACGCCATGGACCCAATACCTGTGACTAGCCATGAACCTCTAAGACGGCTGCAGAAGGCAATCGATTTTTGTTACGGAGGACTGCCATGCACGAGAGCGTGAAATGAGCACAGCACATGAAGGCGGAAAACCGTGCCTTTCACAGATTCTGGACTGTAGGCCCATGGTAGGTTCCGGAAGACAAAAAACAGTAGTTGCCAGGCACACGACTAAGTTCTTGCAAATAGTCCTGCATCCTTTGCCCTGCCGTACAACCGCACTATAGACTATATAAAGAGCAAAACATGAAATCGTGGATCAAGGCATGCTGGACATGACGTTCTTCATTGCCCACGCGCCTCGACGGTGCTTGGCACCCTGCGGCTGCGGGACACTGGGGAGTTCTTTGAGTCCGTCTCACCTGCCAAACAGGGCTCGAGCAAGACAATGCCCTGTGTAACCAGAGCAAGGGCAGCTAGGACTAGGGTTGACATCAGCTAAATACTGCCAGCATACGCTCACTACATAATCATGCAAGAGGTTGAAAACTGAGATCCCTTCGGCTGTTGTTCGGCTTTTAACAAGGGGACGGGATTTGAGCGTTTTCCTCTGTATCAAGCAACCAGAGGGGTTTGAAGAATGGGCTGCGGCTTCCGCTGAACCTACTGAGGATGGACCTTGGCTTGCAATCAGCTCTTCGCGCTCATGCCGCTTTCCCTCTTACTGTTACCGCCAAACCCCGATTCATCAAAAGGGAATGGCCTCTGCTGCTGCCGCTGCGGCTGGAGCTCAGTAGCGTGCCCGTCGCTTCCTGGACAACTCTTGTACTCTCTCGCGAGGTCCCCAGGCTCAAGTGAAGATGCGAGTCCATTCCATCTAGCGCGGTCTGCCTTCGGGATCCCGGGTCTGCTCATGCATCTATTGCGGCATGTTCTGCTTACTCCTTTTTGCTGAAGATTTTTGGCTCACCCTGCACTCACATGACACCAGCTATCTCGAAATAACTCGGAGCCCTGATCGAAATAATTCGGAGCCCTGGGGGCTACTCTTGCGAGAATCGCATCACTCCAGTAGATATGTGTCCGTTCCTGCAGGTTCGAAGAAGTCGGCCAATCCCTGGAATACAATCCTGGCCTGGCCTTCTGCGCGGGGAGGCAGAGCTTGGGCACTGTCGGTGCCCGCTCTTCTTTCGGAATGTACGGGGACAGGAATCCTTGGCAGTGCCACTTCAAGTCAAGGCCCCGATTGAGATTGGGGTATCCCATAACTGCCGTCGAGTTCACTGGGCTCAAGCAGCAGGGCGGTTGCGTGGTCCTGGGCTGATAAGTTGGTCTTGCTTGAACACGAAAGCCGTGATGCTGCGGCCGGTAGTGACTGGTCCCCGGTTCGAACGCAGTCACGGCTACAAGCGAATTGCTTTCTTGCAGCCCAGTTTCAGGGATCGGGTCGTCCAGCCGGACGCACAGAGTCAGCTTGTCCTGGCGCGCATCTATTCTGAGACTACGATGCAAACCTCTCGCCCCCAACAGGGACAGGAAGCAGACTGCCTTCTGTTCCTTGGTTCCCTGCGAAGCCGATGGCTGCACGAAGCAGGGGTGACCTCGGCAGAGTCGTGTTTAGGGACAGGCTGGTGCAGGCGGGCTTCGGTCGGTCATGCGGTCATACTGTGTCGGAGGTGGAGGGATGGCTTTTTGTTTAGAGGGCTGTCATGAGCCAGCTGCGCAGGGACATGCCATGGGAGATGGGCCGTTGATGCGCTGCAGATCTAGCGTCAGGTTCAGAAAATTCCTTTTTTGCATATTTCACCTGTAGCTCTTGACCTGCCTACGCCGGTCGGAAATCGAGTCCTGAGCAGACAGCGGAGGTCGAGGTTCCGAGGTCCCAACCGTAGCGCCGGTGCTCGCAAACGTGCACCGTGCGGCCGTTCAAATGCCTCCACGCGAATGGAGGGGCTTGACTCGAGAGCGAAGCACCCGCAAGTGCTGCCAAAACTCGCAGGCCTTGGCTCTATCCACCGACCACCGCAACCCCCGACAGAGTGCACAACCGCACCCCGATGCTGAGCATGTTAGTAGGCTGGAAGCTGCGGCTTCGCGCGCGACTGTGTGCCGAGACTTCCTCATTCTGTAATGTAGGGCTCGGAAGTCGCCGAGTTAGATGATCCAAGCGTAAGGCTTACTCCGTCATTCAAGCGCCAACCGATACGAAATGGATTGTAAGTCAGTGCTGGGTAGACTCGCATGGACTGTTGGGGCCTGTGAACCCCAACCAAGCAATTCTCCGTTCATGCACTGAACCGGAGACTGCCTCCAAAACAAACCCCCTGCAGCCAAAAGGCGCACACTCTTACACTTGAAGGCCTACGTACGCAAGATTCCCAGATTAGATCCTTTGCCATCCCCTGGAATGCTGGCCTCATTTTGCCTCGGCTCAGGCACACAACCAACTCCACCATCTGCTGCTTCAAGATGCGACAACTGCCACTCCAGTACTGTTGCTCATCCACCCAGAAGTTTGGCTCACCCCAAACTTAAGCCATGGTCGGCTTTTCGATAAACTCGAACCGGCGTCGGCTGGTGAAGGGGCTGAAGCTCCACCAAATGCAAGGTCTGTCACAGTCGAGCGGCTACTCTGGAGGCCACCGATGACCAGTCTGGCGCCTGCCCGCCATTCCTGGTGCACCTTATAGGGCTTCTTCAACATCGACAATACTGCACCGGTCTCATGTCCCGTGCCCGAATCCCTGTACTAGACAGAACGAGAAGCACTCTTCGTCATTGAGGTTTGTCTCTGTTCGTCTTCGTTATCATCCTCGAGATCATATCACCTAGCAGAAATATGAGCGTTCGTCGTCATCGTGATTCGTCTGCATCCTCATCATCGTCCTCACGGTAACAGTAAGAAGAAAGCCAAGCATCTGACAGCTCAGAGGAAAGAAGACCAGCTAAGACCCAGAACCCACAAAGACATGAGTTATAGAATCCGGCACGGCACGATAGCAACAAAAGCACGGCGAGCCGCATGAAAAAAAAATCAGAAGATGGCGATATGAAACAACAACCGAGAATCGCGGTGCCGATAGTCCGAGGCACACAGGGACGGTGAAAAGATCACACCATCAGTAACACTTTAACGAGTGGGAGTTGGAGGACTGGCAGCGTAGACTAGCCCCACTAGTGCTCCAACAAGGGCTAGCACAACAAACGATCCCGTGGGTCGTGAACTGCGCCCTGCTTTGTGCGCTTATTCGTTGAAAGCTCTAGGCCTGCCACACGATTTCAGTCTTAAGTTGCGTTGCTTGTGCACTCCTGGTTAGAATGTCAGGCTCCATTGAACGAGGGGCTTGGAACTACCAAGCCACGCCGCCCGTGTGGGGGTCATAGGACATTCGTCGATTTTGTGATTGAATCCGAATTCTACGTTGTTTTTGCATCCAGCAGTGGCCACTCACATTACGGCCATGTTCATCGGCAATTACATTCACACGGACTTACAGGACTTCGGAGCGTTGATGCTGGTTGAGCTTGGTGCTTCCTTCGCCGCTGCGCAAGGTCCGACTACACGATTGTTTTCTCGCTTGAAGACGGCTTCAGTATCATACTTAACCAGCACGAAGTCCAAGAAGAGACAGTAAGCCACGGCACAGCCACCCTTTCTGTGCGAAAGCACCTTCTGCGGCATAGAGGAACTAGCCCTGATGACACATTAGTAAAAATAGCTGCTCGATCGAAACGGACGTCACCAAATACCCCATTTCCGCCACCCCACCTGGTCTCAACATGATTAAACATGACACACGAAAAACAAAGCGCGGCACATCATCCATGTGCAAAAACAAGCAGCAGTCACCAGTGCAGTACCTCCCTGGGATCTAGATGCAATCCCTCGGCATCACGAAACCCTCGGCAGATCCAGCCCAGGTACGGGCCGCAAGTCTCGAAAGGCCACTTGGCAGTCTCCAGTTCGGAAGCCCCGGGAAGGATCCAACACGGCGACCATGCAGTGCTGCCTTACAAAAGGGGCCAAGGCTGCTCTCAAGTCAGGACACAGGTTCGAACCAGAGCTTTACGAGTTTGCACCAATTTTCGGGGCGACTGAAGGGATGGTGCCATGTCCTTGAGGTGCACGTGTTGTCGGAAGCTGGGATTGAAGAATGTCGAGCAAAGGTAAATGGCAGATTCGGGAAGCTTCCACAGGTATAGACTCAATCAATCAGGCCCATCAAGACAAACGTGAACCCCACCGTCTGCAGCTCAGAGCCCCAAACTTCGTCTAAAGACATTGCTCCCAGGCCCTATGACACGTTTGGCATGGCATGACATGACGTGAGACCCCTGTAGGCTTGTATCACATGCACGTCGAGTCGCTCATCCACACGTGTGATCACTGCCGAACAGCTCCTTCCCGGGAGCACGCGTGCAGTTGTTCTGTAGGTTTTCACTAGTTGCACTGACGCCACCTCCAGCTGAGGGTGCTGCGGTTCGGTCGGGTTCGCGATGCTTAATTGAAATGTAAATTTGTGTTCTGAGGATTGTGGCGGACTGCTACTGATCAGTAGCGGGTGACCTGGAGGTATGTGCAAACTAGCAGAGGGCCGACACTTCGGCCCGTGGACCCATAAGAACCTTGACCTCTCCTACCCTTGTTGCTTGGTCCGGGTTGGCAAGAGGCTGATCCGACACTCCGCGCTACAAACTGACGAGGACTGCACATCAGGCTGCGACGATGGCATGGCCAAGCACTGTAGCTGCATAGTGTCGTAATGGAGCTTCTTCGAGATGCTAGCTGCTAGAGGTGGGTCCGTGGGGCTGTAAAGCAAACGCAAAAACGGAAAGCTGATGGTGCCAATCCGGGACGACTCAACGCAGCCAACAGAAAACGACACACCTCACGAAAGCGCCAAGTGCGGCCCCAGTGGCTGATACTCCGGGTGAACGCCGAAGCCAAAGCCGAGGATAACCAGATCCCCCTGCCTTGGAAAAAACATCGTCCCTTGCCGGAAAATTTCCTGTTGCCTTCAGAAGATGCCCAAATGTGATTACAAGTCTCTTGAATAATGTCGGACGGAGCCCCAGGATGGTGGGTAGGAAACTGAAATCTAGTTACTAGTTCAGCAACAGCCATAAAAAGTCTTCGGCATGTTGCTAGGGTGCTTGCAACATCTGGCACATGTGCGCGATGACACAGGCTAGCATGGAAGCCCAAAGCTTTCGACCTCAGTCATTCAACCTGGCGTCCAAGCCACAAACAACTCTCCAAAAACGCTTCAACCTGAAGAGCCCTAAACCCGAAAGCAGCCACCTCAAACCCAGGCACACCGGCTTTTCTACTGCGTAGGGCTTGTTCTCTGGCCTCAGATAAGTCTCCAGAGGTCGGGGAATTTCGGGTTTGTAGAGTGAAAGGACCACATGGCATACAGAAGATGGTGCATACGCAAAGGGCAAAGAAAAGTTAGGAGTGGTGGCGCCACATGTTGTCCAACGTGCTGTCGATGAAGCCCCATGACCCTGACCAAATCCCTTCATGTTCTGCAATCCGGGGAAGCTGCAAAACCTAAAGTTCTCGCTTCCCGAGGCCGAATTCCGAGATGATTCGACCGGAGCTCTCCAAGCGAGAGGGCTTCAAAATCCATGCCAAGAAATTTCATCCGGCACGCACAAGCCAAGCACACTCGCGCATACGCGAACACACACACACACAGACTGACGGACGGAGTCATTAGCGGTAGGTTACAGCCTATGTTGGGGTTCTTGGCCATTTAAAATCGTAGCTTCGTTGGCAGTGGACTCTTGAGTGGGCCACTGCCCCCTGCAATTATCTCTTTGTTATCAGAGTGTAGACAACGCTTGTTACTGTTACGAGCGTCGTCTGGGGCAAGGGTGCTGCCAGCCTCTTGTCGTCGTCTTGGGCTTAGCATGACGTTTCGCAGGTCAAAGCCGCAGCCACGTCATGGTGCCCTTAAAATGCTCTTCTGGGTAAGGGCCCTGCCCCATGTGAGGCGTGGGTCCTGGCCTCATGTGTCGTCGTCCGGTGTAAGGGTCCCGCCCCGTTGAGGCTTGGGCGCTGGCCTGCTGTCGTGCGTTGTGAAACAATCAAGGTACAAACCAAGTTTGACTCAATCAAGGTAAAGCGCAAGGTATGAATCAAGATGCAGCTCAAGCTTTTCTCGAGCAGGCATCAGGTAATTGTAAACACGCTGGACGGCAAGGGGTTGCTTGCGAAACGGTCACTGAACATTCAAGCGGCTCCACCCGGCCTTTGACAGAATGCCGGTCGTGGACACACTTGGACAGCCCCTCTCGGGAGTGATTAGCGGCGGGCTACAGCCTATGTTGGGGTTCTAGGCCTTGCCTCTGGCCATTCAGTTGAAATCGTTGGCAATGGACTCTTGAGTGGGCCATTGCCCGCTGCAATTATCTCTTTGTTATCAGTGTCACACACACACACAGACAGACGCGGAGACAGACAGACAGACACGCGCAAAGAGATCAGGAGATGCAGCTGCTTCTGGCACTTGGGCCTGAGGGTGCGTGGATACTGAGACCTGACAAGGTAAGAGGGGATACCAAGATCCTGGCATGCACCGCTTACGGGGTAGGTAATGTCAGAAGCACTGCCAAGGAGCGAAGGACACAGCGTCCTTCCACCATCGTCTGCGGACACGATAAGTGACGAGAGCCTGTCTCACGGGATGGCTGCCAGGCTGCTTGTACAAGCATCCTCGCAGGACAAATTTTCTGGCGTGATTCGTGCCATGACCCGACACTGGGCAGCTTAAGCACCATCATCCTCGCAGACTCGCAAGCCCTGACATGTGCAGAAGCCTCTGGAACCAAGCCGGCCTGCACAATGCTGGTAGCTCCTCTCTGTCACGCCTGTTGTTCCTCAGCGGACACAATCTTCCCCCCAAGCACAAACCAATGCTCCCAATGAAATACTTGGGCGATGCCTCCACGATTGAGGCTATGAAAAACTACCAAAATTTTGCGCTGTTTCACTCGAGCCCCGATCTCCCCTTCAGCGAAAGCGAAGTCTAATAAACTTTACTACACTGGTTAGACCCTCGACCGAGGCTCTGTACGAGCAGATTCTCCACCAGCGAGAGCAAACCTGCATGAGAGCGGCTTCGGCATGAGGGATGCCGGGTTTCAAAACGTGCAGAAGTTCTGCGGAGGGAGGACTCATCGTGTGTACCGCCGCTGCAACTGAGGCCATCTGGTTGTTCATACAGCATGCCCTAGCGAGACACCCTGCCTGCGCCGCAAGTGCCGCCCTGACCCCCGCAGGAAACCGGTAGTGGCATCTGCACCTGTGGCATTGTGTAGCCGTCGAGAAAGCAGTGCTCTCGAACCTACCGTGAAGCAGCCTGCACATGTCTGACACAACGCAAGCTGCAAGTGACCGGCACACATGCATGTCTGAACATGCCCATCCGGTAACACTATGGGATTGCTCCGACATCTGCAGCTCGCTGCAAAATGCCACGACTCCATGTCTGATATGCATGTCGCGACCCTGCGTATCGAAGCTCCGGATCCTCGGGGCTTTTCGGCTCACCCACACTCTGATCCCAGTGTGAGGCGCACGCCTTGTAGAACTCGGGGTGGAGTCGGCCAAAACAAAGCTACCGAGCCCAGCCGAGCCAGCTGCAAGGCGGGCGCACTTAAGGAGTACAGTCCAAGGGAGAAGTTAGGATGAGGCCGCAGGGTACGGAGAGTTGGAGTTTGGGTGTAGGATGTCAAGGTAACTGACCACGATTCCGCATTGTTTGCACCTGCCAAATTCGCAAGGCCACTCACATATGCATCGCTTCAAGTTCTGAGAAATTGGCAAGTCGAACTATACATACGTCCTTCAATCGGTTGGTAAGTCCATCGAAGGGGCAAGCAAGCCGGCAATGATAATCAGTAGTGGTATAAGTATAATTATTGGTACAATTACAACTGTTACCAGTATTATTGTCGATGTCACTGTAATTACTAGTACACAAATGAAATATGTATTACAATTATGAACGGTATTGTTATGATAATCCTCGGCAAGGCTGAGTCCTTTGCAAGCTGAAGCCCTTCCGAGAGTGGGCTTTGGCCCAGTCGGGGCGCAAGCGGATGGCCTTTCCGTGACGCTGTAGCATCGAAGGCGCACGCAAACGCAAACAAGCACCAACTTGCGCCGACTGAAAAGCTGTTCTGACTGTCCACCACCTGACCGTAACCCTCCCCAAGGCATCCAAAACTTGAAACCCTGGCACCCGGAGCCGCATGGACGAACCTCGTTGGCAGCCTCTAGGGCCTTCTGGTGATCCTGACTGGTGATGGCATCGGGCCGCTGAGTAGCAATCCAACATGTGAAGTGCCGTGGGGTAGGCTTCATCTGCCTGATGTCAGAGCTTGCAGGGAGAGACAAACCGGGCACCTCCAAATTTAACCACCAGCCTCCCGCCGGACAGAGCCCCTCGTGACTTGTAGAGTTCGGGTTTGGGAGGGGCCCATGGCTGTCCCCTTTGGTCGCGAATGCCGCGGCGATGTTCGATTGGATCCTGGCGGAGAAGCATTTACCCGGTCTTGACGCATGCATCACAGACAAGGTCTGCCTTGCAAACCTAGGGGCCTGAGGGTCGGTGGCAAAGGTCATGAATAACACTGTCTGTGGCTTTGGCTTGAAATCGAGCTTCGGCAACATGCATGTCGTATCGCTCCTGCCAGTTTCCGGAGCACTCTACACCATGCACTTCCAATCCCGGGCTGGCCCCGACGTCCCGGATGAAACTCTGGAAATCCTCTCAACCAAAGGCTTCCAAATTCCAACTTCGTCCAAACCCTCCACTCCAATCCATTGCCCAAGGAAGTGTCGGAATTCCAGGTGTATCCAGGATGGAGCCACGAACTAACTACTTCAACACGAAGCCCTGTCCAGCATCAGCTTGGCGATATGCCAGCAACTGTATCCCAAACTCGAAAAATTAAACGAAACTGGAAGGAGCCCACTTCCCGATACTCGAAACAGCGACCAGGTACGTTGCTGCAAACTCGGTGTCGTCTTTGGCTTCCTGGTTTGGGCTTGCGCTTGCTGTGCTACAGGGTTGCGCATGCGCTATAGCCAGCATGTTCAAATCCTCGTGTTCAATGGAAACAGCGGCCTGCACCGCCACTTTAGACTTTAGAATTAAAGTAGTCTGTCAGATCTGTCAGTCTGCCTGGGGAAGAGTTCCTGTGCGCATGGACATACATGATGTACAGCAGTAAAAATTAAAATGCACGGAGTGCCACGCATAAGGTAGTCCTTCCAAGCCTGACATTCGACATCATCTACAATGGCACAGCATTCTCTTCGTGCTGCTGGTACCCCTGATCTACGTCGTCCTTGGTGTTCCTAGCTTGGACCTGCCGTCTGCATGCCAGCTGTGTTGTGCGCAAACAAGTCCGCCAAAGCAGCTTCGAGTGCTCACGGATCGGACAAACCCAGCGCAGGCAAATCTGCAGGCTTAAGAGGCGTCCTGCAATGCTTCGCGATAGCAGCTGACAGCCTGGTCGTAGCGACCCTCCTGGAAGCTAGGAAGTTTGGAAGAGAGATTGCAGTTCTGCGCAGGATTGTGCAGGCGTGGCGCACACAGACGGTGTCAGTGCTATGCGGTTCAACGACCATCCTGTGAGTAATTGCTCCTGACGCACAGTGCCTCATGCTCGTTGGTAAGACTCATGCACCGCTTTGCCGAAGCAACTTGAAGCAAGAGTTCTAGACTGGGTTTCACTTGATCTCAAAACCCCAGTCCTGGGAGAAAACATGCAACAATCGGAACCTGCAAAACCTATAACCAGAAGGCAACTCATACTATATGTGTGTATATATATATATATTATTATTATTATTATTATTATTATTATTATTGTTGTTGTTGTTGTTGTTGTTATGCTATATTATATTATATTTGAAACAAAATACATTATATCATATTATCATACCCTGTCAGCTCCTTGAAGTTTGCATCGCCTTGGGCCTTCTTGGGACCTGAGCGTCAGCAGGGCGCGTGCAGTCACTCTCGGGCTTTCGGTGCAGCCGGGTTTAGGGTTTAGGGTTTACACTCTCACAACTCGGACAAGCCAGGCGAGGATCCACAGGTGCATAAGTCGGCGTGACACTGCAAGCTGCCCATGCATGGTTTTAGGGTTTAGGGTTTAGGGTTTTAGGGTTTTAGGGTGTGAGAGAGTCAATGCAATCGCTGTTGATGAGCAGTAGATTCTGTAGATGCAACTGCCGGGTCAAGGTGCCAGGGATATGAGATTGTAATCCTAAACCCTAAACCCTACAAATCTAAACCCTAAAACCCTTTTTTGAACGAGGTCTCTCTGAAGTGCCTCTAACAGTATGATTTCATCGATCTCTCTAGCTTTTCAAGAGAGGCAAAGGCAAACATGTCTTTTGCATCCAGGACTCTCGCAAGCAGCCGGGAAACTCCACAAGGCAAACATGTCTAATTCCTAAAACCCTGAACCCCAAACCCTTTTTGTCACTTTCGCATCCAGGACTCTCTAAACCTTAAACCCTAAAACCCCAAACCCTCCCACACATCCACTACATCTTAGCGTTTCGGGCACCCAAAGAAGCCCAGACGAACGGAACCGGCTGCTTCGGACATGCCCGGCTAGAGGTCGACATCGAGCTGTTCGCAAGGAAGTAACTGCCTTAATGATTGCCAATAATATAATCTTTGTGGGCTTTCCTTATTAGAATTATAGGTTTGAGGTTTAGGGGGTCTTGGGGTGCCGGCCTCATGCTTAACCTGTGCTGATGCAAAGGATGCTCGGGTTCCCAACGCGATCGACATTGCTGCTGAGGACAACAACATTCCAAACGGATTCACATTGCTGCTGAGGGCAACGACAACAACAAATTTGTCGACGACTACTACTTACTCCTGCTGTTGCTGCTGCTGCTGCTTGTAACCCTGCAACTTCAATTATATATTTTTCTATCCTGCGAATACTCCTCAGGCAGCCTGCTTGCTCCTGCTTCCTGTTCTCCTACTGCAACTGCCGCTACGATTCACGATTGCGACATGAACCGGCTTCTGTGTTCCACGACGACTTCGACGTGTACAGTAGCAGCCCTGTGCCCGCGGCTGGTCTTTGCCAGGACCACTTGCAAGTTCTCCGGCTTGCATCGGACCTGCAACTCATAGGCGGGAAAATGAGCGGTTCATGGTCGCAGGGAGTGGGCGGAGCTCGGAAGGGGAGTCAATGCCGACGCCAAGCAGTTGAGCCAAGATACTCGATCATCTGATGGGCCGTCGAGCTTCACCTCTTCCCATGCAGCAAGCAGGCAGTGGAAAACCTCCTGCAGAAGTCCCCGAAACACCTCGCTGCTCATCCTGACCTTGAGTCCATGATGCAGATGCCCAAACACAGAAGCAGCCTCAGAATATCAACACCGAAACCAACAACCACAGCAGTGAGAAAAAGCTTCATCGGCAGCAGCGGAAAAGGAGAAGGAAGGCCGGTGTACATGTTGACTAGCACTCGGCGGCCGTGCGACCCAAAACCCAAACAGGTAAAGGGATTTAGAGTACCAATTTCGAAACATATCTCCTACATCCTAAGACTCTTGATCAAAGCTCAACGGCATCATCGAAAGGAAGACGCAACAAACAGAATGAACCCACGGCTCGACCATCATCCCGCCTCAAACCGGCCGGCATCCTCATCCTTTGACATGACCTGGTTCTGAGAGTTTTGGTCAGGGCCAATGGGGTTAATTAACCTGGAAAGTTCCACAGGCACTGCAGACCTTCTCGGGGAAGGAGCGTCGATCCTGCTGGATCCACATTGCATTCGGCCATGCTGACAACATGCGTAAGCCTGTAAGATCAATCTGGAGGTGTTGGTTGCCTTGCAGCATCGAAGACAAGCGCATGACTCCTCCTGGAAACACATCTCGAGAGGAAGACGGGGGAAACGTTACCCTTTACCCGCCTCCCCGTGTTCTGCACCTGAGAACCCACAAAACTGCAGCAAAACTCCACTCCCTCCAAGCCTGAGCGACTCTTCTGGGAAGCCGGCTGTAGCGCGGCGGCCGTTGAGTTCGGGTTTGCTCTTCAAGCCCTTGATCTCCACCTCTGCGCTGAAGGCGGGCTTTACGCGCGGGGTGTGTCTGGGCCACGTCTTCTCACAACCCCATCCCGGATCCACGTGCCCGTGCACAGCGCGTAACATGCGAGCGCTGCTTGCATCTGCAGGGTGGCGGCTTGGCGACTCGTTAAGGTTTGATCTCCTCCTTTCAAGGGATCAGTGAGGCTCTCTTTGAGCAGTGAAGCAAGTCGCAATGATTGTTGAATCGCCCAAAAGATACCCGTAGAATCTGTCTCAGAATCCAATGGTTCCGTTTCTTGGGCATGATCCTGTTTCACATCAACGATCGCATTAATATTGCCGTGAGTTGACATTTCGAAATGTGGTGTCCATGTTCTGGAGTAGTTCCCTCGAATCAAGAGCCCAAACCCCGTCACCGTAAATTCCGCAAACCCTGAACGTGCAATCCCTGCAACATGAAACCTAGACCCATGCGCGCTCCGCCGTTCGGAGCCTGGCTGCCGATGCCAACCTCCCCGTTTGACGGAGGCGCAGCGTCGCTGGCAGGAGGCGGCTTGGTGGCCTTCTCTGTCAACGGTTTCGTTGCGTCCCGCAGTATCACTTGTAGCTGCTCTGCTGATTCCAGCTATCCAGAAAACGTCAAGAGTCAAGAACACTTCCGCATGCAAGCAAACAGACACAAAGCTCACAACGACGAGCACACAAACATTACACTCACAGGGTGACAGCGCAACAAACAGACAGCCAATTTGAACTGCGCACAATAACAACGCAACCATGACGCCAACAACGACGACGAACACAATCAAAAACAGTGCACATACAGTGAAGCAAGACGGAAGTTGAAGATCGCCGAAGCAGAACATGATGAGCGCAAGAGACATAACAGACGACTGAGGAGGTGCTGTACTGCCCAGATTGGAAAATCAGATTGAAGGGTCAGAGAAGGTCGTTCGGTCGCTGGAAGGAGTGTTGCATGTGCTGTTGGAGCATGCGACAACATGAGCCAGGCGCATCAAGAGCCATGCCCGAGAAGTAAGCTGCGAGCCGGCTCTGCTGGTGCCGAAGGCTCTTTGGAAGGACTGGAGTCCTGCATCGCAGCACTGAGTCACCAAGACGCATTCATGCAATGGTGCGTTGCGACGTTACTTCGGAACTCACATGGATGCTTCGTAGAAGCTCGGAGGCCTATGAAAGCTAGGCCAGGGCTTGAAGATCCGCTCGCTGGTGAATGACACACAAGTGAAGGCCACGCAGGACCCATACCCACTTCGTGAATAAGGAGGCTGGGCAATGCTGGGCAATCATCTCGTGACTCGAGGAAAAACGTTCGCTTCTTCCTCGGCCGAGCCCTTGCTAGAATCCCGCCTGCTCCTCATCGTCTTCGAAGTTCACATCGCCAACGGGCGCCTGGGAGTGGAAAGGAGTAGCTGCAAAGATAGTAGTCGTTGTCGTCGTCGTCGCGTCATCGTGCCGTCGCCCAGCAACCCCACATCTGCCACAATGCAACAACGATGAATGCGACGACCTGCGGCAGCAGACGTAGCAGCTGCAAGTGTTGTCGCTGCAGCTGTTGTCGTTGTTGCTGCTGCTGTGCTGCTGTTGTTGCTGCTGCTGGGTGAGTGCCATCATGATAATCACAATGAGAGTGGTGGTGGTTATCCGGCGCTGAGGCATGCGCATTGCTGGCTGCAGTGCGGGTGTCCTCCTCGACCGCGGGTGCAGCTGCCGTCCTCGTTGGCAAAAGTTGGCTGACACGTATGGCAGGAGGAGCACGAAAAACAAGGACAGCACGAGTACCTGCAGGCGACTTATGCAGACACCACATCACCACATCGAAGTATCGCTCGGCAAAGTACTGAATGAAGTGATTGTTGGATGGCCGGACACCATTCCAGTCTGCCTTTGCAAACCCAACGAGGTCGGAGAGGGAATTCAAGCCATCCGGGCCAGAAGATAAATTTCCCGGCAGTGTTCTGGCAGAATCTTGCCACAATCCTACATAAGAGGCGGCAGCTCTCTCAATGACTGCACTTGGACAAGCAGCAGGTCCTTGACCTCCTGCACGCATGTATGAACTGAATTTCTGACTGCAGTATTGCAGCCACGACAATGCGACATCCCAATCCAACTTCCAAGCACGCCAAACCCGGAAGCTCGGAAGCTGGCTCATCGCCAACTCCATCGTCAGGATCGGCAGCGGAGGGCGACGAGGCCGTTGTTTCGGGCTCCGCCTGGAAACACAAGTTCAAAAGCAACATGCAGTTTCTGCTCTGCCTGTGCCCCAAGAGCAGAGCGACCTCAGCACCCCGTTAACGGAGGAGCCCAGCAACAGCTGCAAAGGAATTCAAAACTTACCCACCCGCACATTCATAAAGATGTACACACGTAAAGAAACGTGCATAACGAAACAAACAAGACAAAAACAACCTAATATACATGCGTCCATGCATGCATGCATGCATGCATGCATGCATGCATCCATCCATCCATCCATCCATCCATCCATCCATCCATCCATCCATCCATCCATACCAATAAAGACAACCCACTACACACGCATCAGTACACACGCACCAGTACGTGACAGCATGCATACATACATAATCATCTATATATATATATATATGTGTGTGTGTGTGTGTGTGTATATATATATATATGCATGCATGCATGTCTGTATTGATAGCTGTTGTCTGAACAGCCACAACCATAGGGAGAGTACCCAGTCGCAATTAAGCCCAGCCTTCGCAGCTGCCTTTGGAGGATCCAAGGGCTCAGTGCGGTCGCTCTTTACCACCATGGGCTTGTCCTGAAATACAAACCGCAGATATTAGCCGCTCTTACTCGGTTCCTAGTCATGCTACAGCCAGCACAGCTTGCACCACATGAGAGCGGTGCAGGCAAAAAACGCTTCGACGACGCTCCCCGCCCCCTGACCCCCTGGCAGGGGCTGCCGCAAACGCGGGAAGAGCCATGCATGGTGTGAAGTGTCAGACTGCTAGCCGCGACCCCTAAAAGGGGCTGGCTTCGCTCCTTGACTTTGAGGCTCACCCAGCCGCTGCTCGGCCCTGTCCCGGTCAGCCGAGTGTAGCGTAACCGCTCGCCAACCAGCTCCTGCGACTTTGCGACTTGGGGACTGCCGTTGGCTTACGATTTCACACTGGGCCTCAGCCGCTGCATGCGCTGAGTACTTGAGGGATGGCGAAAAGGACAGTCGTAGCAAAGTGGTTTACTAACTGTAGCGGGGCAGGCTCGGAGTTGGTCTGGAACATTGCCACAAGGGCGTCTGGCACTTTCGGGGCTTCGGCCCTGCTATGACCCTGTGCTGGAAAGGAGGATCCTAAACCCGGTCACACGGTCCTCCTGGCGGACCAGGGCGCCGGTCGATAACCGACCATCCTTTCGGATCTGGACTCTCGCCCCGGAGGTGCTGTCTGTGCTTCAAGCTCCGGCTGATCAGAGGACATGAGTGGCTAAGGCACGGATCCGGCTCAATGCCAAAACCATGAGAAGTGCAAGTTCGCGGAAATCGAGATTCGAGATGCATCTGATTCGAAAGATCTTGGAGTAATCTCAAAAGCCGAGGATCCTAGCAGGATGCTCCCTGCGTCAGAAGTTTCTGGGCAGATACAGTCATTGAAAAGCCGATTTCAACTCGAGACCGTCAACATGATCCCATCCTCCTCGCGGGATGTCAGCTCCCTCCCAGCACGTACGAGGATGCCGCCTGCAGCAAAGTGGCCGATGTAGCTGAGCTGCATACTATTGCTTCAGACTGAGCACGCTGACATGAGAACGAGTGACCTTCAGGGCAAGGAGCCACTCGTGATAAACGCGACATGAATCCTAGAGAGCGTGTAATATGCTCTCTCAACTCTTCAATGTCAACGGAAGGGCAGCACTCGCTGGAGTATCCGTCCCCCCCCCCCCACGATGCGAACCTTTGTCGACACCGCCGACAACTTCCCAGAGCTGTGCCATGGCTCTAGGGTAAACTTGCGGCTTAATCGTCAAGAGACCTTTCGAGCTTGGTAGCTACACTACGGCATTCTTTGGGTTAAGATGCAGGCGACGGCAGGTAGGGTGATTGCCTTGCACTCCTTGGTGTCCGCTGCTTCGCGGACTCCTGCAAACGGCTGGTACAGATAGAGCTGCCTCATTCCAGTTCATACACGTTAAGATCCAACATCTTCTGATGATTTACCAGTCTTGATAACTCACCTTAGGGTTTGCATCGCTCACGCTGCACATCGGTCAAGTGTGCATCATGATCTCTTGTAACAGGCCTTAGGATAGGACTTCTGTGCATATTTTTTGCAATATCGCAGATTCACTGCGTAAGCCGGGTAAACAACAGCAGCATCTTGAACCGAAAGCACGGAAAGATTAGCAATGCAGTGCTCTCATGATTGGCACGACATATGCTCTCCAGAGTCGTGTTCGCCGGATGCTTACCCAGGGAAGCTGTGAAACAGTTACTAAGGGAACGCTGATCAACAGCTGCAGTTTAGAAAGCATGTTTTGGGACAGCACTGCCACAGCACTCACTTCGATATTGACGTCAGCACAAAGCAGCTATACAGGGAAATGCATGGCACACATGCATACACATACTGTAAATCGCTAATCTGCAAGATTTTCAACAAAATCCAAAACATCTGTACAACACGCGATGCCTCCTGGCCACACAGGCCATTGGCGATTCATCGCCGAACCTTCAACCCATGAATGGTGCACCCTCCACCCGTTTTGCGACAAAGCGCTGGTCCCATCTGCAGGAATTTACTACGGATCTCCACCAAGAATGGCGGATCAAGGTGCGCTGACTGGGAAGAGGTTCACTGGGCCTTGCAATCACTGGAAGGACACGGTCCAAGGCTTGACTAAAGGATTCTCCGACAATCCGTTTGCACTGGGGACAGTGCCAACCCAGCCAATCTACGTCGCAGCCAGAACATGGCTTGGACCACGCACGCTGGATGGCCTCCAACATCTCGAGACTCTCCCGCAGAAAGTCCTCGAAGCAGGTAGCATGACCATACCAGGTAGGACCGCAAAAGCCGTGGATCTCCAAAAAGCCAACGGCTCCTGATTCATGCAAACACCGACGGGTGTTACCGTAGCCGGACGATGAACACCGACGTCTTGGACGCTGCCCATGCTTGCCCAATGACTCAAGCAATGTCACCCGACCGCGGTGAGGAAAGGCTATAAGAACATTTCGCGAATACGGAGGAGAAAGACAATCGCTTTCAAAAAGCGGCAGCCAGTGGCTTTGGCCGAATTGATGGGGGCTTTCCGCCACGTAGGCTATGGCAGTCAAGGAAACGACACCACGGCCGGCGAACTGCCGGCAGCCTGTGAGTTGTTTGGCGCTGCTCTTCGCATCCTCCACAAGGTCGGGTAAGTCTCGAGCAGCACGCAGGCAAACAGTGGAAAGCGTGTAAATGTCTTCTCGAGCCAACTCTAGCAGGAATTGTCCTTTTCTGCGCCCCGATTCTCTCATACCTTCATGCAGTCTCAAGCTCTCTGCAAGATCCTCTGGAAATTGGCAACCCAAGCGTTCTTCAAGTCCTTCAATTTGCTGTTCTGTGAGCCCTGGTAGCAAGCTATCTAAGGCTTCAGGAAGCATCGTTTTCCACAGGGACTTGATGTTCTTCCAAAGTTCGCGAACTCGGTTTCTCACCTGGAACACGGGATAGTACACCTGCAAGATCTTGATCTTCAGGGTTGCATCCTTGGCATCCTGGATATCCTCGGGATCCTTCGGTGAAGTACTTGTGGCAGAAACCTCGCTGAAAGGCTGAACTTCAGTGTCAAGGTGAAGCCGCCGCAGCACCAAGTGTGAAGCTAAAGTCGTCCAATGCTCCTCCTCATCGGCTTGTTGTAGCTGCTTGGATGCCAAAGCCAAGCGAGAAAGGCTTTCTGGATCCGTCCAATCGGCACAACTGCGGATCAGCCACAGATGCCGTTTTGACTCCATGGCGAAAGGATGCTCCCGACCCGTGTATCAGTACCAACCCGATGGAAGCTTGACAACGACACTCGCCTGCCTGGAGACATGCAGCAGTACATCACAGACACTCGAACGCTGAAAGCTTGCACTAAGCAAGGCCAACACTACTTCTGTCGAATCACCAAATGTGCGATTGCAGCAGGCTTCGCCTATGGGCACCTTTGAGACCTGCTCGAGCAGCTCCTGGCTCCTCGTGCATGCGTGCTGAACTCGACTTTGGAGCCCTCGCCATCGACGATTGCTGACTCTTCTACACCCGACTGACCATGCCGGAGGCAGAGCTCTTCGTGCCGCGCATTGGCGACTCACTTGGTGCGCTTTGCACGCTGCGGCCGCTCCCTCGACCTCTGGATGTCAGGTATCGAGTGAGTTACAGTCGGCAACGTGGGAAAGGAACGCGAACTGCGAAATTCGACACGTGCCACCACCGCTGGCAGATACTCAGATATTGAATGTTGAGAGGCGTATCGACAGACGTAGCCTCTCCACCAAGTCCCTGCCACTTTCGGCTCTGCGTCACGTTTTCAGAAATCTCCCAAGAAAAGCCCCTTCCCACCCTGGCTGTCATCTCTGAGGTCTGAGCTATTGGAGCTGCTGACATGGCCTTGGCTCCGTCCAAGCAAAAGCTTCACAGCGAGAACGCAGCCACCCTCAACTGAAAAGTCTGAACATTTTTGCTGCTCAGACTAGAACCCCTTTGGCTCAACTAAGATCTGGACTTCGGCTGTGGCTCCGAGCACGGCCCTCCACGCGACTCCTGCGGAAGAACCCTCTGATGCCACCAATCCACTCAAGTCCAACCGCCAGAACTGTCCAAATGCTGTCACTTCAGCTGGACCCATGCATTCCAACCAGCATCAGGCGAGTAGACAGGACGAGCTTTCCCCCTTGTCATCAAGATCCAGGCGCTCAGACAAACACAATATGCTGCCCTTTTCTACATAGATTGCGTCAGGCAAAAAACAAACTGTGAAAATATAAAGAGAAAGCGTGAAATTCTCTGCTACGTGTGCGATCCACCATGCGGCTCGGTTTCTTCCCGGCTGGCTGGCTGACACGGATCGGGTCACATGTCTACCCGAAGTAGTTCAGTGATCAACATGAAACGTTGGGTAGGGTTGCTACTGTCAATGGCACGTGTTGCCCCAGAGTCGCCTCGGGATATTCGCTACTAAAGAGCCGGATGGCTCTGCACTGAAACCGGCCGACAGCTTGGAGGATACGAGGTTGGCAGAAGCCCAGGAGATGCCACTCTGCGACTCTCCCGACCGCAAGCTGGATTTACCCTCGCCTCTGCTGTAGATGTCTAGGCCGATACGACACGTATGAAGTGCAGAAGGCATCATTGCGTCCTCCGGTTTGGCAGGCCGCGCTTACCCTGCTGCGGTGCAATTGGGCCCGGCCTCAAAGCCATCGAGACACAAGGCAAAGTCAGGCGGATGCACCAGTCATACGTACACCTGCTACGCGTGTCATGTCAAATTAACAGACAGTCTAAACGCTGATTTGGGCCCCTGCAACATGGGGGCGTCGTCGTCATCTAGGCAGCTTAGTTCTTGCGCCATGGCCTGAGGCAGGTGCCGAATCCCACTTCAGATGTAACAGTCCCATCTTGAACAACTCCACCGTGGGCAGCAAAAGTGTGATGAAAACCTGTGAGAAAGGCTTCAGAACTCCAGAGAGGATGTGCCTCCCACTTGTCCTGGGTCGCACCACCCCCGCCTGCGACGGAAAACGTGGAAGCCTAGGACTTCGTGAGGTTGTTATCTTCGTGCAGAACCATGGTTTTTTGTGCCAAAACGAAGCCGTAATTACCCTGCCCCCGAATAGTCACCTCAGTCTCGGATCAAGTGGAACATGTGTGCTTGCAAACTGTGACTTTTGAAAATGGGAGCATATGGGAGCATTCCTTAAGTCTCTCAGCTTCGAAGGACCCCGTACAATATCGCACCCTCTCTGTTGGGCCTGTCTTTTGCAGCCTCTGGGCAGTGAGGGGCTGGCTCTCGCTGCCTTTGCTGAGACAGCATCCGAGCTTCAGCGTGGCTTGGCTACAGCTTCTCGAAGCAGAGGTGGCCAGAGAGGGTCGGGTGAGGGTCGGAAACGGTCTGAAAGCGAGGGAACAGCCTTTTTGTCAACCATCTTAACCGCGCCAGTCTACAAGTATTTCACTTCATCAAATCGAAGTGAAGACAGGCCAGCAGGGGTTTGATTCAGAGAGAGAGAGAGAAGCGAGATACGAACATTCTCGCTTGCTTAAGCACAAACCTGGATTGCTGCACAGACGTGCATCCTCGGCAGAAAACAGGCACAGCTTTTTTGACTCAGGGCTTGCGCAGGATCAGCAATCCGCTGCCATGTCGCAGCCGCCCGGAGCTTTGGTTCCTAGGAGGACTTGGGTATCCGGTCCCTGTTGGGGTCGCTGATGCCGGGCTTTGCCTAGCTGCCATCCCTCATGCCCTTAATGGGATTGCCTGGGAATTCTGCTCAATTCGAGGCCGGTGTCGTGTCTTCTTGTTGGGGTTCTATATATACCAACGCTTGAAGGGTCACATGCGACGTGGCAAACGAGACCTTCCAAAGCTTCGAGGCCTGGAATACATGAACGACATGGTCCGGTCCCGCATGCATTCGAGAACATGATGAATCTGGCTGGCATCAAGAAATTGTCCACGAAGAAATAGGGAGCCTTGCCGACAATGCCTGCGCAGAACAGCCGCGGAAAGGGAGGCGGCTAATTTTACTAATGGAGGCTGCAAAGCCTTGGGCAGTTTTTCGTCTCTCCGCTTCTTCAGCGTGCTTCAAGCTTCTACGGTCCATGGCAAGCAGGCCTTCGATGGCAGCAGATGCTCGCTGCAACATGGGCTTGCCATCGTTGATGTCCTCCAACTCCGATGGGGACAGACATCCACATGCGCTCTCTCTCTCTCTCTCACGTGCGGACCTGCGTGCAAACTACCGTGTGATTCGTTTCCGTCGTCCACCATATTCTACCTTACTACATCACTAAGCCCACCCATCAGAGTTCGTTCCCCCGATACCATGCCCCCCATATGCTCAACATCGACGTCACACTGCAACTCTCCACAAAATTGTCCTCAACGACGAAAATCCCTCCGCGCTTTAGCCAAGGCCACAGGCTGCCAAGCCTTGGCCAAGGCAGAAAGACTCACGGGCCTGATGTACATGTCGGGGCTTTGCACACGCACTTAGCTTAATGTCCTGGTCAGGTGATGCTGCCGAAAGGCGTTGCTATCTGCGCCTCTGGTGAGTGCAACCCATCGTCCACCACAACCTTGCAACAAGCTGTTGTAGCTGAGTCGTGGTGGCGGCGTTGGTGTAATAGCAGCACAAGTATTCGCGGAGAACGAGAAGGTTTCCCCGCAGTACAGTAGCTGTGAGTACCGGTTGCACATAGTCACACATGCTCCGATGCGCAACCCCTCACCATACGTCATTCATTCGAGTTCATGCTGTGTGAATGAGCCACAGGCTCGCACACAGATTCCATAAAGCGATGCCAACATCGCACAGGTTACGACCCCCTCTCTCGGCGCACACTCAGACGAAGACCTCTTGGCCCCTGAGACTCAAGGTCCTCAACAGCTGGGTCGCATCGAAGACCCCGCGAGGTGCGCCAGAGCCAGGAGCGCTGGCAAACCCCCAGGACTTCATTACCTGGGCGCTCACGATGAGCTCAAAAACCCCTGCTCCGGGACCCAAGTGAAATGCAACTGGACTGCGCAGCAAACCAGCAAACGTTCCCAGATCCAATGCAAGTACACTTCCAGCCGCGTTTAGGATTGCTCAAAATAGAAACAAACAAATGTTACCATATTGAAAGAAATAAGACAACATGGTACACAGCTGCACGGGAAAGCAAATGCACATGCAGCTGCTCTTGAAATCCTAGCCACTTCCGGAAGGCAACGAGACACAACTTTGTAAATGCCAACCTTTCTTGTTGACTCACGGATTTGCTGGGTACTTCTCGATCTATGTTATGTGGACTTGCCATGTCCGCTCCTCTTCCGCGTGTCGTCTTTGCTTCTGTGGCTGGTGAGGTTTGTCACACACTTGGGACTTCGTGTGCAGGGACAGTTCAAGCAGCTTCACGACATGCGCTCTGACACGGTTCAGTCGAATTTCGGCTTGTCTGCCAATGGCTCTCTTGTGCTGCCTCTTTGTGTAGCAATGCTTTGTTTCTGCCACAGCATTCGCCTCGGAGATGCTCCAGCCCGGTTGCGGTGGCCACATGCCCCTCGTTCGCTGAGTCTGCCAGCGCGGTCCGAATCCGGGCCTTGCAGAGAGCTACAGGTGAGAGGTGGCTCAGGCACAGGGACAGACTGGGTGGAGCCCCTGACTCTCTGAAGCCCCCAGAGGCACCTCACCGCGCACCATGGCATCCTTGGCTCCCCTACTCTGTCAGACAGACTTCTTGTCTCGCTATCCGGCTATCTACTCGATACTCCCCAACTCTGCCCAGTATCCGGCATGACATCCAAACCGTAGATGAAGGCCTGAGGCGATAAAGGTAAAGGCTGTTCAACTGCTTCACCAGCTCTCAACTCGCGATCACATGCGTTGCCTGATGCTCACCGGGCTGAAATTGAGTGCCGTCCCCCAAAAAAGAGCCGAGTGCCATCTGCAAATCTCAGGGCCTGAACCGAAAAACCAACCGCACCTATGTAGGGACTTAATTCAAGTCCTTAGGTATATCCAGATAGGCGGAAGCACTGGCATGGCTACGGATCTGCGTGAAAGAAGGTTCAGGAGGTCTACCCGGCCTGAAACCCAAAAGCCACCGATGAGCACTGACTGAAGCCCTGCAGCCGTCATTCGGCCTGGGGAAGGTAGTCCCTCCAGGCTCGCAGTGATCCGCCGGGCCGGAAACCGGGCCCCAGGCCTCACCGAAAACCCTCCCCGACTTGAATGCAAACATGAATACCATAATAATATACACCATATAATGTAATACTATGACTATAATAACAACCCTGGTTCGACGCCATTGGCCTGCCATGGAGCTCAGTGAGCCCGGAGTTTGTGTGCCCAATCCCACTTCGAGCCTCAGCTACTAGGCTTTCTATTCGAAGTCCGTAGTCCACATGACTCGGGTGCTTGTCGACTTTGCCGGGGCATGGGCTTCATGCACCTTCCAGGGCTAACAGCTCACATCAGATACCCCCCAACTTGGGAGGTCTGACAAAACCGCCTTCCTTGCCTTTTTATCGCGCCGGGCGGCAGCCGCTGAACCGTCAATGGCTGGAGCAGCACTTCGTAGATGGGGCAGTAGCCGTTCCTGGGCTGAAGCCCGCTATAATTATCTCACGCGTGTCCGCATGATGGGCATGGGCGCAAGAAAGCTGTCTGTCCGCATCAAACCTGCTTTTTCATACACCTCTGGTCTCTCAGAGCTCCCGACACCGTGCTCGCTCAAGTCTCCCGCTGCGGAGAAACAGACAGTACCTGCCGCCAACACCCGTACTGTTCAGGAACCAGGCAGGGGCACGAGTCCACTCACGACTAGGTTGTTTTTGAAGAAGACTACGACATGCCGAAGCGGCTGCTTGCTTGCCGACAGCACCCGACGAGAGCGCCCAGGTGAGCAGAAAACTAGTCGGAGGATGTGCTGATTGCCCGATACCAAACAGGCGACAACTTGGCTTAACACTTCGACGGTGGTTCGACGAGCTTGGCGATGGGTATGTCAATGACAACAGCCGGGTCGTCCCGTATCCGATGGTGGATACCAATGACAGACGCCGCGTTCACGAATGTCGTCGGCACATCAATGCTTTCAGTCACAGAGTCGCAGGCGTTCGGAAACTTTGCCCCCAACTGAACTCCCTTCTGCTTGTGGACATGGCCAAAAACATGAAAAGAAGGGGCACGCCCGCAGCTGCTGCTGCTTGAAAGCGCCCGCACGAGTGCTTTCGAGCCTGTGTGGACACCGAGGAACCTGTCAAGGACGCCATAAGGCGGACCGTGGGTGATGAGGACGTCCAGTGGACCAGCATCCAGACAGCTGCAGAATACTGCTAGCTGACGCTCTTCGTCGACTGCGAAGGCTCGCATTGAGCTGGCGGCAATCACGTCAGTGTGTGGTGCCCCGGCGATGTGAAGGCGAACTTCACGGCCGGTGTTGCCCCCACGGTCGAGTTGGATGGCCAAGGTTGTCCTTTCGCCCTCTAAGTAAGCCGTTGCGTTGCTGAGCAGGCGTTGCCGTACTTGCCCACGCCACTCTGCGAGAGCCCGGAGCCGGCTCTGGTCTGCATCCAATCGCGACAGCTCCTGTAAGTCAGGTGGGCTCCAGACATTCCGGACGTCTGGCTGTGCATGCTCGGCTTTCCGTTTCTTCGAAGACATGGCGACGTTGGCATGATATGTCTCCGGGTCTAGAATCAAGTCGTGGTTTCCAGCTATGACGATGCGATGTTGGTGAGGAAGCAGCCCCAGCCACTCGTTAAAGGAGCAAACTTCTCTGGCTGTTCCGTCCACTGTCACGTCACCGCAATGAATAAAGACATCGCCAGTCGGAACTCGCACAGCCTCTGCAGCATTCCGTACTGTGTTGTGCGTGTCGGACATGACGATGATTCGAACGGCCTCGCCCGACGCATACAGGTCGTGGTGTGCCAGCACCGCGAAGGCTTCCGGTGTGTACTGTGCTGCACCTCTCTCGCCGCTGAAGTGCTGCCCCATGAGACTACCCGTACATGGTAAGTGATTTGGAAAGATTTGTCGAGTCGCGAGCACAATGAAACTGCTGAGCCAGGCAGATGGCAAAATCTTTCTGGAAACTTTCAAAACCGTCTCTGAACAACGAGGCACTTCGTCTACCAGGACAAGGATTCGCTTTGAACACTGGGCTCTCCCGAATCACTCTTCAGAATCTTCAGAGCATCACACCCTTTCTGAATCTGTCTGTTCTCTTGTCGTCCCTGAAGGCGGCCTACCCCCAAGGCTAGCAACAGGCCAGCGGTTCGATCCACATGTGGGAGGGGCTCTCTCAGTCTCTCTCCTTCAATCTCTCTCTGCTGCACAAGCGCAGCTGTGCACGATGATCCCTAAGATTGCACTAGCTCCGACTTGTGCCATAGTACAATGGCGATTCACCGAACGTACTGCACTACGCCCAACCGGGACACACCTGCCTCTTAATCGGGTCCCGGGCGAAGGGGCTAAGAGGCAGTGGCCTGTTCTGATGGAGCGACATGCTGATTGACTTGCAGCCGCCAGGAGCAGCTCTGCACTCCTCTAATTCGTTCGTCTTGCTTCACACCCTCTCTTTCCGAAACCCCAAACTGGAACTAGTTGCATCTTAGATTCTGAGCCTTGTCTGACCCAGCCTCCAGCATGAGCTGGCTCAGAGGGGCCTGTACCAAACAGTCGGCACGGGCACTAGGTGTCGAGAGCCAAAACCGATCAATCCTCTGCAAAGAAATCACCAAAATTGCTCAAGTGGTCGTTCCTCAGCCTGACCACGGCCGTAAGTTGAGCTCGCGAGGGCGCCTTGTGTGCGCCTGGGCCGCCTCCGGGCTGCTCGGATGGAGGTGGCGTCTCCCAGATCTGCCAGGGCTCGGGCTCCGCGCCTCGGCTGCGCCCATTTCGCATGACTCCTACAGTTTTCGGATTTTACGGCTCGTCCGCAGTCGGGCTCGTGCTTGGCTGTCGCCAGCAATCTGAGGATCCGCCACCGATACACTAGTCGTTTGCTTTTCTGTTGCCTTCGCCTTCAAAATTCTATCTGGAGTGTATACTAGTACACCATGTCAGACTATTTCAGAGGCCATCGTCCGAATGATGCCTAATAGGTGAAGCATCACGGACTCAATGGACAGATCCAGATAGTGAAGCAGCACGCAAACTTCTGTTCCCGACAACATCAAAAGACATTGCTCTCTCCCGGTCTTCGCTCGGCCGGGTTGTGGGATCCGAACTTACCGCTCACTGAGGCACAGCACAGTTCCCAGTCGTAGTCTTGGGTCCAGCATGTAGTGTTCGATCTGTCGTCACAGCAGTCGGCATAACCTCGCAAAGTTTGTCAGGCATTGGCCATGTCTACCGAGCACCAGGGGCAGAGTATTGAGATGTTGCTGCCTTCCAGCCTGCTGAGAACAGGGGTCCCGAGAGCAACATTGCGAAGTACATGTGGTTCTCCAAGCCCTAACCTTAAAATTGCTGAAACCCTAAAGCCTCCGCCCCTGTACAAGCTCCCCTTCAACGGAGCCAAGCTTCGAAGAGCCTCGCTCCAGCCTTGCTGCTTGCGACGTGTTGATACGGGAAACCCATCTTCTCGGGTTTAGCGTTTTTTAAGTTAGTTCATCTCAGTCAGACCTCGAACCATCGGCCTCGCCTGGAATGTTTGTCTCCCACCTAGCTTGTTTTAGGGGGTTTAGGGTTTAGGGCATGGCGATTGTGTGAGTACACACTCGCTTCTCTCAATCATGTGAATGTGCTGGAAATGTCAGCGAAACATGTGACTGACACAGGACAGTAGTGCAGTGCGCATTGGAGTGTCGGGAGGACTATCGCTCAAGTCTATCTTTCGACCTCTGAACCCTACACGAACCCCGCCCGCAGGCCTAGGCCGAATACCTGCCTTGACCTTCGCATCCCTGGCAAATTCACTTCAACCCAAACTCGGAACGCCTGCGCACATGTACATACTGATTGATTTTTTTACCACCTCTCTGCGAGAGATGCACGTACCATTGCATGCCTCTGTCTATACATGTACAGGCTCGGTTAGCGTTACTGCTGCTTTGTTATCCATCAGACTGGTTACATCCCTGTTTGTTTGCACACCCTAACCCCTGCACTAAACTTCGCCAAATCCGAGGATCCAACACACTCCGTCAGAGCGTCCTCAAAGACTCGTACCCTGGAGGTCTGACTGCATGAGTACATTATAGCACATTTTCAGAAACCCAACGACGTCCGAGCAGTCCCAGAAGCAGGCGGGATTCGGACCCTCCGGGGCTCCCCAAGACCTCGGCTCCGATCCCAGAGTTCCATGGGCGAAGACATGTCGTCCTTTGCAGGCTTGCGGCTTGCAAAGCGGACCAACAGTGACTGAAGACGGTTGTCCGTGACCAAGCAAAAACCGACCGTTCTTTTGCCTCCTACATGGCTGAGCGAGTCGCGAAGTAGGGTTTGAGAGGACCGACCGTTATTCATGAGGATTGGCCCCGGGACAAGCTGAGGCTGCAACGTACCAAGGCCCCACCAGGCAGGGCGCAGCTTTTGCGAGGGCGGATCCGCTTCCTCGATCTACCGGAGTTTATATATATATATATATATATAAGTCTGGGACCAGGCGTCCGGTGTAAGTCTCGGGTAAGCAATCCCACCTACGATCCTCTTGTCGCAGCATGCCGTCGCAGGATTGCAGCTGTAATGTTGCAGTTGCAGGGTGTTTGCTTGCGGCGTTTCAAGTGTGAAGCTCGTATGACTAGTATGCTCTTGTGGCTTGCCAACACAACAAAACTCTGAACCTCGAATTCACACCTCTCGCAACATCGGATTGCTGCCCAGACGCCACTTCGAGCCGTAGCCTCCGAAGGACCTTGCCGAGACTGAGGGCCTGCGTGTGCTCCAAGGCGGCCAGAAACATGGAAAAGTTGATGTTGCCGGCAGCATCTGACTCCTCGACTCCAGGTGAATTTCAGGCGAGCCAGATTGAACGCCGAGCGAGGGCTGCAAATCCTTTAGAACCGATGGTTGAGATCATTGGTTTTTTGAGAGCAAATCAAATTTCAACACCCAGGGTCCCTCCGCCACCGTCTCTTCCACCTCTGGATGTTGCCTGAGAGGTTGGCAGCTGTTCAGAATGCACTTGAATCTGGGTGGAGGAGGAGTTGATGCAATTGAATGGAGGTTTGGGTTGCTGATTCGAGCATGTTTTGAGTCACGACAACAAGCTGCATCGTGCAGGCGCCTCTAGATACATAGCTTCGGCAAGCAGCCGTTGCTGCGCATCGTTGATTTGTTGAACCCGGAACTCTATCCGATCATGCGCATCTTTGTTGTGGGTAGTAGTGAGCATCATCATGAACCAATTCACAAGACTACGACTACTTCCTTGTCCTGATTGGAACTGGCCTGCCAGCTCTGCCGGCGCATGGCGCAGCAGCTGCGCCTGCTCTGAGGTGTCGAGCAGGAGGTTCCGGTCCTGCACACACTAAAGCTACTGGTACCAGTTGCACTGTTGAAAGGCCGAAGTGGGAAATTGAGTCTGCCTCAACAATAGACCAGAGAACCCTTCAAAACAGGTCTTATACCCTCATTGCATCCCCATATACAGCCTTGGGACGGGGTAAATTGCGAGCTGTCCGGGGCCGAGTCCTGGTCAAGCAAATGGAAAAGATGTGTCAAGACCTCGGCCGGCAATGAAACATGCGATTGTAAGTTGGATTGCACCGTGAGGGCAATGCAATGCCACTGTCCCGCTAAAACAAGCAGTCTCTAACCTCAAGTCCTAACGGGCCATCAATGTCCGTTTGTATGTATATGTGCAGGACACAAACAGATCGCCTAAGGACAACCGGAAAAGCCGAGTAGCGAGGCCGCTATCGCCCATTTGAGCATTCCTGTCCATGGTCTACGAAGCACAAGCGAGGCCGCGATCGCCCATTTGAGCATTCGTTTCCATGGTCTACGAAGCACACGGCCGAAGACAAAGCATGTCGACGCTCTGTCACCTAGGAAACCTGTACTACGTAGACTCAACTTCAAGCATCCAGCGAAGAAGCATGATCATTCAAGCCCGAAACAGAAGGCAAAGCCTGTGATCTCGAGGCCAAGGGCTCTCCAGGATGGCAGGGGACATGTCCTACCCGCAGACGCAGCAAGTTGAATTAGGGCCTTCGCTGCTTTACGGTTGGGCGCTGGAGAGCCGCTACTCGCCGGAGCGTTCACACTCTGAAGTGTTCACTTGGCAAGTTGGCTCAACACATGCGGCGACCATCGGTACCCAGCCTCGCAGTCGCGCCAGGGAGCGGGATCGGCTTCTTCCGCAGACCGCGGGGCGCTTGCATCTCCTGGCGACGACGTGTTTGCACATCAGTCGACTGAAGGGCGTGGTTCAATACTGTACAGGAACGACTCGCTGCTCGGCTTCTGCATTGGCGATTTAGTTTGAGTTTGAATGGGCGGGCCGGAATTATCGGGAATTCAAGCGATGCTCAGACATGGTGTGTGTGGAAACCAGGCTGCAACGTCGGAAGGACCTGACGAAGACACTGCTTGAACAAATCGGCGGCTTGGCGGGCTCTGACCTGCTGGTCTTGGGCTGTGCTCTCGCTCAGTCCCTCTCTGACATACCCGAGGCGGCCTGGATAGAGAAACAGCCCTTCCTTACCAGTCGCCTCGCCTGCCGATGCAGAGGCGTGTGAATTCAATCTTGCACGGAATAATTCGACAAGAGGCCTGAAGAAATCCATGCGTATTTCACGTATTTCGCACTTGGGAAATTCTCGGAATGTGTGACTGATTCGGATAGCGGTCACAGTTCCGGCACTTTCACTGGCAACACAGCATGAATGCACTCAGCATTTATCCGGCCTGTGGTCAACCGTTTGTAGTATCCTTGATAGCTCTGGCAAGCTGCAAGCTTCGGTTCTTGTCTGCGGCCTCGGAAGTACATCACGCTGTGGAGCTGCCCAGGCCGTGCCAGGAAGTCCAAGGCGGCCTCGCGGCACGGCTTCTGACCTGAGGGCGGGCGTTCCGCGAATGCCTAACTCCGCTGCCGAAGCCGTTGAAACCAGAAATCCCTGGGCCGTCCCTTCTTCACCCAGCCCTCAGATTCGGAGCCTCCCCGCTCTCTCGGAGTGAGCACCACCTCATAGGACTTCGACGCCCGCAGCTGCACCGAGTCTCCGTGGCCTCAGATCGGCTTTGAGCTTATAGACAGTCGCACACTTGGGAAAATGACGGCATCAGAAAGGTAGACTCCAGCTTCCTGGAACGATAGGCTGCAAGCTTGCTCTCGAGAGCTTTGGAAGCAGCCCGATGCTTCGCAACGGAAAACTTTCAAGCCTGCTGAAACCTTCCGAGCCCCAACACCTACAGTACGCACCCCAAAGGACACGCAAGCCTGAAAAATGCCAGGCCACGCAGGTCGATTTTCTGGTTCTGGTCTGTGCGCAGCTCCAGGACGTAGCCCGAGACCCACACCTGGACCCAAACCCTTGTATGCAGTGTGTTGTGTCATGCCATGCAGCATCGGCATTTCTGAGGCCAGCACGTGGCTGGCAAACACCAGGATCCTGTCGCTAGGGCTAACAGGGGTTAGGGAGCCACACCTCCTAATTCAGGAGTGGTCGGAAATCTGGCTCGGGGCTCAAGATCAACACTCCAGCAAAAACTTGTCTGGTCAGTGAGTGCCTTGGCAACCACTCGCGTGGCACCCCGAAGGCTGCGAAGTAGTTGTCGTGTGCGACCTGCCGCGGAGCATGTTGCAATGTCCCGTGCCACACCGTACCGGTCCAGGCTGACTGCAAGGCGAGCCGCCCTTATGAAAACTAGCTGATGCCGTGAAGACAAAGATTGACGGTGAATCAATCCTTTGAAGAACTGGGCGAGCACGGAACACATGAGATGGCACTGCGTGGGCTGGAGGTTGAATCTCTCTCACGGCGTATTCTTGCAAGGGTTTGCCTCAATCTTTATCCAGGTGCCCATACTTGTTGGCTCGTGGGCAGAGCCTGCTGCAAAATTGCCTTCTGTGCCGGCATGGCGCGACCGAAGACCTTTGGCTGGAGGGCGGAATGTAGCGCAGAATGAGACTGGGCTTTTGTTCTTCGTATTTAGGCTGCAGCATAGCCTGCAGCACTGATGAACACAAAAGCTACAACATGGATGGCCGATGATCGGCTGTTAAGAGAATCGAAAGGAAGCAGAGATGGCAGAGATGCGGTTGTGGCAGGCATGGCCAGTGTGAACAAAAGCAGGCTCTATGCTCTAGAGTTCGAACAACACTTCCAAAGCGTGACCCAGTTTCCAGCGTGCCCAGGAGCTCTGCAGCTATCGGTGCGTACATGTTTGAATGCGGAGCCGCTCCTATGGGTTACTGTTGCCTCTTGGAAAAATGTTGCGCGTTCAGGGCTTGGGCAAGGCTGGCCGGACTCTGCAGCCGCAGACATGCTTCAACCAGTCTTCAGCACCTCGCACTGCCAGAGCCGAGGCACCGAAGCCGCCAGCCAGTTTTCCTGGCCGCCGGCGTCCAACTCAAAGAACCTTTCCGTGAGACGAAGCTCCCATCACTGTTAGAACACATCCGATCGGGCCTGTCCGGGTTGCATGGAGGAAGGTCTGAAGCTTGAGATTTTGCACAGAGGCTTGGACTTTGAAGTTCGGTGCTGCAGCTTCGGAAGGCCCGGACAGGCGTTCAACTTGTGAACAGCTTCAGGAAAGGATAGTATATACTCCTTCGAGTTGCAAAGTACAGATTTAAACCTCGCGGTCTATCCTACGAGACTGCGCTTGACGGCCAAAGCACTCCATGCGCATCTCCTCAGACAGACAGGTCGGCACCTGAAACCTCAGGGAAAGAGACACCCCCACAATCGCTGTATCTGGCAAAATCCGACCGAATGCATGCCAACAAGATCTGGGGTTTCAGCAGCCACTGGCAGCAAACATGACGAAATAGTTTCGGGCATTCCTATTTGGGCAGGCCGCTGAGACATGAAAGACGAAACACCTCACACAAACCACGCACTGCAAGAGCGCATGGATGCATCGCACCAAACCAATTCCGCCTCCGCAAAATGTAAGACAGAAGCCGACCGAAACCAGAGAGGCAAGTCGCTCGGTGCAGCTTCCATAAGCGAGGGCATCAGCAACGAGGGCACCGCGTGCGCCTGCATCATCAACAAAGCGATGTCTGCTGTAAATCGCGTAACGCCAGGAGATCCCGCAGCTCAACACAGCATCACCCTGACGTCCACTTCCCTGACCCTCTACACTTCCACTACATCCTGAAAGGTGGAAGGCTCACCTCCGTCTCCTGCCCTGCCAAGCTGAAGGCCGGTGCCTTGGCCTTGGTAGAAGAGAGCTCGGAGGTCCTTCCCCTGGCCATTGCAGAGCCGCAGCGTGTGATGACAATCCTGGAGCAGAGGGGAAGGTGCCATCGGTTGACCTCTCAACGTACACTACAGGAGACCCTGCTTCGAGCTGAACAACATCAGCATCTCCCCGCAGCTCACTGCTGTCGGCTTGGTTCCTGGCTAGTGCTCGCTACAACCTGCTGCAATTCCGCTTGGAGCTGTTCAAGCCCTTCGATTCAGGCACCCCACACGCCAGACCTGAGCCCGTGCGCTGAGACCGGAAGCTGCAAAACTCCAGTAGCCTCGGCAGGACAGGGAGCGAGCCGGGCCGCGAGCAGAAGCCATCGCGACATCTGGCCATGTCGAAACTGCGCAAAGGGTGTTGCTTGATTGGCCGAGGCCGGATTCGAAAGAGCAGCGGTAAGATGTGTTTTTACTGTTCCGGCCGAAGCTCTCTTTCGACTTTGTTGACGTGTGCAAATGTCACAGCTTGAGCCAGTGTAAGTGCTGAGAAGGAGAACACCAATGCTCAGAGCCGTGTTTCTGAACCTTCTCTCAACAAGTACTGGTCTTCTCCGGTAGGAAATCCTGAGCTAAAGCAGCTCAAACAGTGCTGATAGCCGGTGTCTCAGGCCAAGTTGCCGCTGGAGCTTGAGCTGCTGCTGCTGCTGTCGCTCTCAAGCACCTCTACCCCGGCAGGCTTCGCTCAACACTCAATGCAAACTCCGATACGTGAACCAGGAACAATGAGGCACTGCTCGGTTCTTGCCGACGAGATCAGCTTGGGGGTGCAGGGCAGCCGCACGAACTCTTAGCTTCTGGACGAGTTCAGTCTGTTCCGCCGCACGCCCAACTTCATCGAAACAGTTGAGGAACGGTGGCAGGACATCTTACACCGTGTGGAAGACATCAAGCAAGCCAGGCCTTTTGTCGCACTATGCCTTCTCGGATCCTCGCACATCCCGAACCCCGAGGCCTGCCTGAGCATTGCGCTCTGCAGTCTCACGGCTGTGCCCGAAGACGCCTCAAAGCGGTGGCTGCCAGGCAGTTCGGGAGCTTCGCGTAATTGGAATTCCAAAAATTCGGACGCAGAATCATCAGTTTAACTCCATGTGGAGAGACTTTCCGGGCGTGCCGGTGTTTCGTGGAAGCCTGGCGGAAGCGTTCCGGGGAACCCCCGCCCCAGGTTCCAATAGGACATCATAGGACGGTTGTGTCATCAAGGGAAGCCCATTCAAGATCAATGAAGCAAACTTCGAGAATCTGCGTCCCCAAAACCTCACCAAAACTTCTGAGCATCCTTACCAAAAACGGTTTCTGAATGCCCTTGCGACCTGCCAGAGCCTCAGACGGCAGCATGGTGGTTATCATTGGACTTGTCGGAGTTGTGGGTGACGCTAAGTTATGGTTGACCTTTCACCTTTTTCCCCGGCAGTGTCATCCGAGGTCCAGGCGTGGATTAAGGCTGGCACTTGCAGCTCCGGGACTGCTCCTGCAGAACCGAAGTGCACTCGGACTGCGCAGTGTAGGTCCTTCTGGCTCTTTGCCAATTCTCACATATTGGAATATCCGAACCTGTCAAAATTTACCTCCTGCTGTCTGGCCTACTTGGAATCACCCAGAGAGTGTAATTTTGGCCGGAACGGCGTGCAAGGATTCAAAGTCTAGGAGTCTAGGACCAATTGCCTGAAAATCGATGTCCTAGAAACTTGGCAAGCTTGAATTGAAGGCTCATCCACTTGGTGTCGCACGGTCGGAAGATGCTTGAAGGCCGCACCTTTCCAAGGACTTGTGTTCTGATAACACCCCTTACACAAGATCATCACCCGTCTGTCTCAGATGCAGCTTTGCGAAGGCTGACCGTGCTTGCTACACGGTACAATACTCGGACTATGGGCTGATTCACGGGAGCTGAATCACCCCAAAAGACTCGCGGTACTCGGGCAGTCGCCGGAGGCTTATCCGAACACCCGGCACATAGGCACCTAAGGAACAAAGCGGGCGACCCTCTTTTTTACCGTTTCGTCTTGCCCTGGAGCCAGAGGCCGAAATCTTGCGTCAGGCTCCGGAAAGACGAGGCGGATGCTCTCCTGGGCTCCAAAAGAGTTCGAAGCTCGACGTTCGAAGGCACTGCAGGCAAAGGTTGCGATACTGTCTGGCAGGTCGGAACCGCAAGGCAACAGGCTGATTCAATCAAGGGAAACCTTGCCACAAGACACGCCAAAAAATCACGGTGTAAAGGCTGCCAAATCCCTTTCCAAGGCACGTGCTTCGCCGTCCCCAGCCGAGGCGTTCCAGCCACTCCTGGTACAGTGACGATTCGACGACGGCATAACCAAAAGGTCGGGTTTGGGCATCGATCTCGTACGGCAGCGGGTTGTGGGTCTGTCGTTGTCGTGTTTGGGGTTTAGCCTTCAGACCCGCTCCGAGCGTGTAGGGTACATGGTTTCGGCGCACACACACACTCGGACAAGCCAGGCGGGATGACCAACGGAGGGAAAACAAGTAACTAAGTGAGAGACTCGCCGGAACTGGAATGTCGGGTGGAGTAGACAACAAGGTATGAGGCGGGATGCTCAGGGGAGGCACCAGTTTGTCCACCAGACAACGTGCCAGCATAACAGAGCCTGGTACGTGGCTTCGACACGCACACTCGCACACGCAGGCACGGATCCACGTACAAGTCTCATAACGGCAGCTTGCCACAGGGCCGTGCGGGAGGGCAGCCATGGCAGCCGACACGGCTCGCAAAATCCGAAACATAAGTAAGTGGGAGGCAAAAGATCAGAACCTAAAGCTGGACCACCCGTGCTTCACAAGAATTCCGCTGGTCCCCAGCAAGCCCGAGGCAGTCAACCCAAAGAGGGGAAGAACATTCAACTACTGTCTATGTAAGAACCGGGATTGCACGTAAGAGTATCGGGGCGTCACGGCTGAGTCAAGTCTACTGTTTCGAAAGAACACGTGGTCAAGGGACCCAGCAAGAGGAGATGGTTCCGGCGAACCTAAACGTTTAGACATCCAGCAGGGCCCGCAGAATCTGAGGTACGGCTAGTGTTAGAGACAGTCCCTGGTTTGCATCTCGGTGCTTACAGCTCAGAGAGGATCTCTGCAAGGGAAAACTGGTTGTAACACAACTTCATGGCTCCTGCATCGCAAGCCACAGCAAGCACGGCAACGATTTACCTGATTGGGTTTAAGGTGATATCCCACGAACAAAGCCCACCACCACTTAAGGATTCCCTGTGCCGGGCAGAGACATGAATCGACAGGCTGGCAGAAAGCGGCCCTCCGAAAAAGCAATCTAAGATGTTTAAAATGCCTCCCCTCATGAGCCTGAATTCCCGAGAGCTCCTGGAACGCGCTGCGGCGCGACGGCACTTGGCCTCCCATGGTCTAAAAAGCAGGCCATGCTGCACCCAGCTGCACCCCCAAGTAAGCATGAGTTCACTTGTGGCTGCGAAGCGGGTAATCACCCAACCTGCGACAACGGCAAGGCTCAAAGGCCACTTGTCTGATCCCACCGACCTACTGCATAGCCACAGTAGCTGCCGAAGAGGGCACCCACCAGATGCGAAGCATGCGAGATGCCATCCTTGGTCAATCTCAAGCATGGCAATGGGTCTCGAGTTTTACGACCGAGCCACTCGCAACATGAGCTTCGGCAGAGAGCGGGGTCCAGTGCACTCTTCGCTGACTCTGACTCTAGTCGCACAAAGTTGCCAGTCTTCCCGGAAGACTGCTCAAACACGTGCAAAGCCCAGCGTCTGCTTTTCCATGCAGAAGAGGACCGATCTCACCTGCCAGCCTCAGGGGCCCCCCCCCAGCGGCTCTCTTCCCTGACACTTCAATGCTTCTCAACTAGGACACAAAGGGTCCCAGGGGCCAGAGGACCATGGTCAGCAGAGCCGTGGCAGGCAGGGCCTTGCGGCCAGTGAACCCAGCGAAGCCTAGGATTCAAACAGCATTCACACAGGCGATACATGCACCGTGCACCGGGTCCAACAAGTCGAGTTGCTATGCAAGCCTGTCTTTCCTGAAGCAACCGGCTTAGACCCGAATGGACGCGAACAAACTTCTCCATTGCTGCTTCGCGAATCACTCCCAACAGTAGTCTTGCAATCCCTCCAGTTTCGGTGCACGCAATCTGGACCTGCACGCAAGTGCCACAGGCCTTTAACATGCAATCCCTGTAATCCCTTGGCGGGTTTTCAACAATCACGCCTGGAAGAGATCAACGTCTGCTGGGGGTCTTTCTAGGCGAGCTGCTGAAAATCGACGTGAAACTACAAGTCCTAGGAATCCGCCTGAATGAGCAGAAGTCGTCGACATCATACGAGAAGAAGTAGTGGCAGGCAGTGCGAAGGGAGGAAGCGAACGAGGAGGAGCAGGAGGAGGGCGAGGGGGCGGGAGAAGGAGGAGGAGTAGTAGCAGCAGCGGCAGTAACAACAGCCATGGCCTATTGTCGTAGTAGTCGTCGTCGTGGTGTCGTGGTGGTAGTAGTAGTCGTTTCATCGTCCTCTTTCTCTCCTCCTGCTACGCTGCTACGGCTGCAGCCACCCATCTGATCCGGGGTGCTCGTCAGGCATACGGCCTCTTTCGGCCTCTGGGCCCAAGCATAACCCGTCTCGCAAGAGTCGACTCCCGACCCAACTCTGCTTTAAAACGCTAAAATGTTGCCGAGCGTTGGGAGGAACGGCATGTTTGACGACCTCTTAAAGGGAAGGGATATCAGGGCAGGTGCAGAACTTCTCCGAGCTGCCATTCAGAGTGATCAGCGCAAAGACATTTCCTGAGAGGCCGAAGATCTGCGCGTTGCGTGGGCCAAAAGTCCTGAAAGCCAGACATCCCTGAAAGAGGCCATGTGCAACTGCTGACTGAGACATAGGCACTTCTGGCACATCCCTGCAACACATGCCGGACTTGAGAAGGTAACAGTATTTTGGATGGCATGGTTAGAACAAGAAATCGGAAAGCTTTCTCGCAGGCCGGAGCCTGGCATTATGAGCTACCAACGGCTTCATGTGTCTTCTCAGCTGCTCTTTCGGAGAGCCCACGAACTGCCCACGATGATGAATCAACAAGTCCCACACCTTCGACACTCCGAGTGACCCACCTTCCGGAGTCATTGCCCTTTCCCACACGCCAAGGATCCAGTGGCTGATGGCCACCGCCACGCTGCAGCAGATAAGCACGCGGAATCTCGGATTCACTGTTTCTGACTTCTTCTCGGACAGCAGCATCCACTCCAAGCAGGCTACACGGCCCACCTAGCCTATTATCGCCAACATCACTTTGCTTGACATCCGACACGACTCCAGCTGCAAACACATCCTGCTCGAAGCAGATCAGAGGAGAATGACAGTGTAAAGCCTCGACATGTAGCATACAATCCCATGCTTTGGGGCTAAGCGGCACGGCCGTGGAGCCATAGTGCCGCTCACCTCAGCACCGACATGCTGGATGGTCTCTGAGGCACGCCGTCCGTACATTCAAATGCCGAACTCGGACTGCGAAGTCTCCTGGACACCTAGGGTCGGCGTGCACTTGAAGTAAAAACACAGCCTGCACGCTCCGCGCACCGTCATCCCGCATGATATGGGACCAGTGGCAAGGCGGCCCCACTAAACAGAGCAGCATGAGATTGTGCTGGAGGTGGTCCCAGCCTGAATCCCACAAGGGTTCAAAATGCAACGCTGGGCGGAGTCCTCGGCTTTCGCGACCCAACTACATAAGAAGTCATAAGAACCCTCGATTCCTGGACTCCTGCTTCCAACTTGGCTTTGGCACCCGGTCTCTCTGGTTTGAGACTTCAGGTGCTGGCTTCATGTTTGGGCATTCGACTTCCGTCTTGTATGGGCTCAACACAAACTTCACAGGACTTGCACAGCCCAGACCCGCCGGTCTGCAGTGGTCATGCAGCTAAGTCAGCTGAGAGGATTCTGACATGAGGGAAAACTGCAGGGGGTGAATGCCACTTTCGAGTCGTCGCCCGAATCAGACGCTTCGAGTAACCAGTCATGAGAGGTACTTAAAGCAGATATCTCCATCCAATGCAAAGCGCACACCGCCCCACCAACCCGTCGGCAAGCCTCCATGGCCGAGCGAATGGCTGAAAAGCCGCCAGGCAGTAAGAGGGCTGGACAGGGAAGTTGCCTGCCAAGGGAGCCTGGTCTGCAGCCAACCACTGAGCGGGCCATGTTGGAGAGTGCTGTATCTATCAGGCCATGAACCAAATTCTCAGACTCCATGCCAAAGGCCAGATTGCCATGATGTACCACGACGGCGGTTCCTCTACGTCAGACGTAGCTATATTATATACACCTCGCACAGTGTGCCGCATGATCCGGCAAGATGCGTTGCCATAGAAATGCCAAATGGTTTTGAGGCACGTGCAGGATGCCGTGTCTATGACCTAGCCAGGTTTTGAGTACATGCTCTCGAGACTCTCACGAGAACTCATCGTATTTCCGAGCAGCCAGGCATAGTAGCGGCTCAAGGCCGAGGGCTCCATCCGCGTGTGGAGGTGGACCTGACGTTCCAAAGCAAGAAGCCCAACACAACCCGGAATTCGGATCATGGTCCATCGCCAATCTGGAATCGTTAAACGTCTCTTGATCAGTTTGCTTAACATCTTTTTGTTGGGTAACGTCGATGCCTTGGATTCCGGGAACTGGGAGTTGAGGATAATTTCAGGCTGGGTTCATACCCTTGTTTCCTGCTAGGCCGGTGCCTTCGAGCTTCCAGGGAGGCGTAGACGATGTTGGGGCAGCTGGGACGGACGCGGCAGACATTCACAAAAACCCATCTCCTACCTAAGAATCGACAGCAGTGAGAGCTCGGAATTGGCAAACGTGGTGCGAGCAGAACCTCCGAATGCCGCCGAGTGCACCAGCAAGCACAGCAGCGTGGTCGCCAGCACCACGGGGCTGTCCAGGGCGATGTAGGACGCCATTGGTTTAAGCTTGCTCCCGCTTGAGTATGTGGCAGCTCCTGTCTTGAAGGTTTCTTCGTGCCTGACCATGTCAATGCAGGACTTCGGCAGTGTCCGAAGTTGAGCGCTTCGACAGGAGTTGTTGATAGTTTTTGTGTTTGCAGCTCTCGCAAAACAACCGACATGATGCCCGCTATGCAAGGGGAGAACACACATACAAGTAGCAGCGTGCAGACTAGATTGAGCATGCGCCCATGCTTCCAAGCATGGCTACCGGGCATCAGTTGAATCTCATGAACAGGGGTCGGTATCTCTGGGTTCAGTCGAAGACATGGGACCAAACAAGCTTCTGACTTTACTGGTCCTAGCTCAGGGGTGAGCGGCTTAGAACGTCGGCTGCATGCTGTCGCAACATGTCTCATTCAGTTGGAAACTGGAGAGCGAATCGGCATCCGCTTCACAGGCAGAAGGGTGGGTTGCAAAAGCTGAGAATGATTAAGCGTGACCAAATAGCATCGGCAGGTTTTTGTAGCCTTCGCCTCGACAGCGAAGGAAAACAGCCGCATGCTGTGAGATATGACCGGTGAAACTGCGAACTCTGAGCTGCTCGAACAATCTATGTTCGCATCTGAGCACGTAGTGTCCGTCAGCAAACACCTTCTTAAGATGTTCAAGACGGAGCTCTGACAACCGCCTGCCTCACTCATCACCGTCGGCCGCTGCAGCTTCCTCTCAGACAGGTTCGAGATTCTTCTGGATTCCAGCACACCTCTTGGGCTCCTGTTGCACAACGATTGCCGATAAGAGCATGGCTTGGCGGATTGGTTCTGCAGACTTCCCGCGGAGAATCTGCTTTGCTGAGTCACTGCCTGCCTTTCGAATCCTACCAACTTCTGAAACAAGACTACGAGGATTTTGAGATCTTCGAGGTGCTTGCAGGACCCGGCCACACGCCTGCGCGGCCTCGTAGAGCTTTGGAATGAAGCCAGGCCTGTCGGTCCGCATGCGGGGTTTGGCCGTGTGGTCCAACCTGAGCTCAAAATCGTTTGATATAACGGATGCAACTTACAATGACTCATTCGTAGAAAATCTATAAGTGCCTCGCCCTCACCTAGCACTTGCTAGCTTTTATGAGTCGCTGGCAGAGCCTCCCAGACTGAATGCTCCAACTAGATGTCTGTTCGGTTCTTCCTTGTTGGCTCTCAGTCATGGTTGGCGTTCGCTGTGACGCCGAAATCAAGGTGCCGAGGTGGCTGCACTACATACAGTGCCGAGGCGGTTCGGACAGAAATGTACAGCAGTAGAGGACTACACCTAAGCCGCCCTGGGGCTGGATCTGCGCATAGGCTCCGAGCGCCGCTGCCACCGTCCTCGAGGAAACGAGTTCGCAAAGTGGGCTCATGGTGCACTGTAGGTCTCCTTATCCGCAATTACGGGGCACGCAACAACGCTCAAAGTGCTTGGCAGGGTCCGCCATGCCAGCCGGGAGCATTCCTTGGAGGTGGCATCCGGCGTGCGTAGCTCCTGGAGGGGTTACAACACGGCTTTGATTTTTAGGGCCCGTGCGTGCTCAACGCATCTGCAGATACGCAACCCGGCACGGGCGCAACAAGTTCATGCAAGTCGCTGGGGCGGGACAACTACCGCTGGCATCAGGGTGGATGGATCGATAAGCATCCCCGACGCTCCGAGATTTCGTCGAGGGCCAAGGCTGCAGCCTCTGCCGTGCTGAAGCCCCAGCGCTCGTCCTCGTTCGTGGAAACTTGTGCTCCCGGACTGTCCCACCGCTATGCAATCAGCTAAGGATCTAGGCTTTGTACTTGTACATGTATACATGTGCACATGCCTGACAACATGTTAACGTCTTAACTAATTGATTAGGAAGGCAGAAAAACACGGGTGAAATAGCATACATTATGAACAAGCTGCTTCAGAGATAAGAGGTTCGTGGGTCAAACACCTCGAAGTCTTCATTGCGTCAGGGCGACCGCCAACAGACTTGCTGGACAGCACAAGTGTGCAACAGAAAGGGAAGTCAAACAAAAAGCCACACCCTGGCAAAAACGAAACCCAAGACGCAGAGAGCCGCCTTAAAGCCCCAAGCTGCCAAGTCCTCGCTTGCCACAAAATCATGACCATCAGTCGCTTCCAGCTCGCGCGTGTTCCCGAGTAGCAACGGCTTGCGAACCTTCCAAGTCTCAAGGGAGGCTGACTGTAAACCATAGATTCAGACAACACCACTGCTTGCTGCATCTGCACGTCCAAATTCTCTTGATAGTAGCACTCCGAGGTCTACAAGAAAATCTGAAAAATCACGGGTAGCATGCCATTGTGGAGGTTCTGCGGCACATCAGGGTGAGGGGACCGCAAGGAGAACAAGGACAGATTGGCTACTCGGCTGCAGGAGCACTATGGTCCTTTCCGCCCCTCAATAACAGGAAGCGAGGCATAATCCAGATACGTGTCTGTCATATGCAGTTTCCATGCTCTGGTGCGTCAACACCTGCAAGCCAGATTACGAAGGACAATGGTTTCGTTGACAATTGTCAGACACCCAATGCACAAACCCCAAGCATGCGAAGGCCAACACATGCTTCCTACCACCAAACAAGGCACTACAAATACCGGGCGGGTGCCGGATGGTGGCGTCAACTCCACGCGCTGTATCCTGAGGATCTCCCACGACCCACAAGTGCGGCAAGGATGCGAGTCTTTGGATTTGAGGTCGGGGATTGGAGCTCTGGCTAAGTGGGCAGTGTTTGTAGGAGCTTCTGGACCAAGAGTGTGTAAGTAAGCTAGCCAACCAAACACATCACGCAACTAAGCCTGCTGTATCCGAGACCTGGTTGTGCGCCCGGATCCGGAGAGGACCGGAACCCTATCGGAAATCAAGAGCAGGTTTGCCGGATGTAGACAAATAAACCGTGAAGCACATTCGAAGACACTGAGGACCAGTTCGAAAAACTGCAAAAATTCAGAAAGCCCTAAACCCTGAATCCTCAATCTGCAGGGCGCATCGCACCCGCTTGGAATCCAGGATGCCGACAACGCTTGAACTTTATTGAATGGTTTCCTTCCGCTTCCTGACGCCCCACCCCCCCCACCTACTCGACCAAATGCAAGAACTACAGAGGCTGTGAGAACCAGCGAGGTTGCCCTGTCAGGCCCTGATGTCACGGGTCACACGGCGAGTCGTCGTACGTACGCCTTTGTTTTTACACCAGCTCTGTCTACGCATATGCCAGGAACCGAGGCGCCTCGTGCCATATGGCTACCCCGTCTCACGTATGCCTAAACCCTAAACCCTAAAAGAAGCCCTTGACCTGCACCGTACAGTAACCATCCGCACTGAACCCTAAACCCTAATCTCTAGACCCTTACCCTGAACCCTTTGAGGCCCAAACCGTGATCCAGACCCTCGCTCCTCCTCTGACATGCTCACGCCTCTCCTAACATCACGCCCTGCAAAACCGCCCCGACTGCGACACCCGTGCCGGGCCCGACATGTCGGGTAACCTTGCAACTTCGCAGCTTGCCCAAATGTCGGGTCGCAAACCCCAAACCTGAAAAGAAGGTATTCCGTGCCGACGATCAAGCCTACAGCAGATGTCGGTTGAAACCATTTGAAACCCTGAACGGAGATGTCGGTTGGCAAGCCCCGCACCTGGAAGAAGATAGGGTTCATGAAACCCTGATACAGGAATACTATGGTTGGCAAACTGGCAAGCCCTAAATCGCAGCCTCACATTATACTCGGAGATGTTGCAGTTGTTGGGCAAGCCCTAAAACTCCAAATCGAGATCTTGTGCCGAATCCCAAACGCCAAAAGGAGAGGTCGTTTGGCCCCACGCCCTAACCGAAGATGGCAGGTGGCAAACCCCAAAGCCTAAAAGAAGGTTGCGTGTTGTCGGGTGGCAAGCCCAAAACCCTCAAACAAGATGTTGGTCGGCAAAACCCAAACTATGAAAAAAGATTGCTGGCAGCAAACCCCAGACCAAGCAATTGGTTGGCAAGCGCCTTTTGCATCCGGCATGCAAAGCCTCTGCCGGGAAAGCTTGCCAACCTAAACCTGAGAGGAGATGCTTGTTGGCAAAGCATGAAAAGAAGATCGTGTGAAACGTCTGGATGGTAAGCCTCTAGCCCAAAAGAAGGAGATAGTGGTTGGCAAACCCTAAGCCTGAAAAGGGCTGTTATCAGAAACCCTCCACTCGTCAATCTTATTTGGTCTCCTATGATCTATGATATGTAAGAGTTGAACATATCTTATCTTCTTCACAGGACACAATCAGCCCATGACTAACTAGGAAGTTCCACGCTGGAGAGCTCGTAAGATGAAGACCATCGGCCTCGACAGCGGATCGCCCGACTCCGACACGGCGGCCATTTCGCCTCAGTGATGTTCTGACTGGAGCAGTGTCGGACTGTCTCACGGTGCACCGGTGCGAAGCTGCTGTCGAGGAGCACACTAACGTGGCATTGAGCAGAAAGATATGGAAAGACCACTGAGGGATCCGAGGGTTAATCATGTCTCGCTCCAGCCTCCAAGGCTTATTTGGCCCTGCCAAGTAGAAGCTGCTTCACAGCACAATCGCATTGCTGGCTCTGAGCTTTTGAACAAGCCCATGCCCACCGTGTTGAAACATCCTGCAACCAAAGCACGGGCAAAGCGCCAGGTGGCATCCACCAGGATTAGGTGTCGCACCTTCGCATCCAGAACTTCCTCCGAGCAGCACCCTCCATCCTACAGCCCACTTCATCCGCTGAGATCCGCTGAGAACTGCGAGCCCTGCAGCAGTCCTTCAGCGGGCGCGCGCCGGGTCCAGGGAAAACGAGCAGACAGCTTTCGGGCTCCCTGTACCTGGGCCGCGTCAGGTAGCGTGCTGGAACTCTGAGACATTTCGGCCGCTGGGTTGGGGAAGGATTTCGGACTCACGGCCGGCGACCGTATTTTTTGTTTCAAGAAGCCTGTAATCAAACAATGCAGCTCGAGCTCACATGCTACCTCCTTACCATCACAGTATTATACCGACCACAGGCCTCTCGCCAAGAGCAGCAAAGGAGCAAATGCTCGAGCCCGATGGGCACCTCCGACGGCAGCCTCCGCGTAACATGCTGCCTCTCAAGGGGGTTGATTTTCGAACGACCAGGCGACTTGGGCGAAGAGCCGCCTAAAAAGACCAGCCATGCCACAGTGAGCCACCTATGAACCCTAATCCCTATCATCCCTATCCAAGGCCTCACGCCGCGGACACAGCGTTCCAGTATCCAGGCACTCTGGTGCTTCTGGCGTCGCTCTTTGGGATGCCGGAGAAGCAGCACCTCTGTAGCCGCGCAGGCGGGACATTTCAAAATTATACAGCTGCATACGACCAACATAATGCTACGAGTGGATTTGTTGACGTTGCTGCCGTTCGGCCGTTCGGCAACTGACTAGGGGTTGGAGCTCAGTCATTGTTAAGCCATTGAACCCAAGATCGGCGTCAGCTTCACAATCAATGGCTCGTAGCCATCTATCAAAGCCCACAGCCCAGAAGGTGACAACAAACATCCAAGAGACAACGCCAAATCTGGTGAGTCACGCTCTCCAGACCAGAAGGTAGAGCCAGTGGCTCGGATGGAAGACTCGCACAGATGCCTCGTGAGACGAGTGAAGTTTTCTGAGTGTTGAGGCTTCAGTGGCCATGAATTTCGTTTTCGGTTCTTGCATCCCAAGCGCGGGGGGAGTTCATGGGCGGCGAGACATAGGGTTCCTGTCTTTGCCCAAGAACCCGACCGACCCGACCTGAAGTCCCAGAGATGCAGAGGATGAGATCTTGTGGGATGAAATTGGGATCTGCTCATCCAAGGTCTGTCTCCAGACCAGACCTCGAGTCATTGAACCCCACAGGGTAACTTGGCCTGGTATTCTGGCATACCCAGGAAAGTTCGAAACAAACACAACTGCTGGCCTCCCACGCACATGACAGCTCTCATTTCACCTCAAACCCGGACACACCAGACACCGAAGCGCCCAGCACAGTGGCACAGCCCCCCCTCAATCAGAAAAACATGCGGCCCGGATGCAGGCGCGCACAGGCCGCCCACAGCCCGCGCACATGGGCCGGCCAGCACGGCCGCTTCCAGGCCTTTTCTAACATGGCTTCCTTCGGCAGGGAGGGGCCTTAATAAGGGGGCTCATGCAGGATACGGGGGCCCAGCTCTCACAAGACCCGAGAGGCGGAGAGAGGTCCGAGTCGGCTTCCAACTTCTCCTGGGTTTCCAGGGTGTGGCTGTCCTCCATGTCGTCACGCCTGCCTAGGCCCCGGGCAGATGCCGGCTGAGCATGGGGTTCCGAATGTTCCGACTTGTACGAATCGAATCGATTCGGAAGGGCCAAAATTGGACCCCTGAACAGGATGGGAGTGTTCATCGTGATGGTACCACTTCAGGCTATGGTGTCTGGGGAGGTCCTGTGTATGGCGATCCGTCAGGCTTCATCATTCTAGATCTGCCCTCGGAAGCCAAGGGAAGCCAGAGGAAAAGATCGGTGAAGCTCGTCTTAGCGAGCATAACTCTGACCTGCCACGTATCTCTACTACCATAACTTCTACGAATCGAGGCGGAGATGGCATGGCGAAGTGTCCGCCCGAATGAGAGTGAGCCCACGAAGCTTCAGAAACACTCGGAAGACACTGATCCTTCCCCGGGCATGCTTGACGATTGAACCGCTTGAACTCCGGACTCCAAGCCTGAAAATTGCTGGTACTGTCTGTGCTGCTGACATCGAGCTCATGTCCTCTGTAAGGTCCTGTCCCTTGTTAGCAAAACGTGGACAGAGGAAGCAATTTGGTTTTAGTACTGTCAGGACAAGCACCAGACTGCAACGCGACGCCTTCGTTTGGCAATAACAACAAACTCACTCCGGATGGCACCACAAAGCACATCCCATGGCTTCCTCAGCCCAAGCTGCACAGCGAGGGACGGCACAAGACTGAGCCAGCCTGTTGGCAGCGGAAGCAGCGGTCGCGCCGCCACTGCACAGTCCATGTTGATGCTTTCGGAGATGCAAGCAAGCTTTTGGAGTTCAGGGCTGGGAGTATGGAGTTACCTTCCTTTCCGGCTGGTCAGTCTCTCAGTCGGCGGCTAGGTCGAGAGCCTATTGGCCAGCTCCCACCTCCGCATGCGTTCAGTCTACCTGTAGTCTGAGACTACCAACATTGAGTGTCAACTTTCGGTTCTTTACCTGCTGATTCGCCAAACACTTGTGTGCTGAGTCGAGTAAAGTCTCTGAAGCTGTAGTCTACAAGTGCTCTAAACATCGCGGCCTCGGCATGAGCAAGTGATAAGCTGGGCACAGCGCACAGGCTTGATTGAAACCGATGTTCTTCAACTTACATGCCAACTACCGGCGCTCGAAGGCAGTCTCTAGAGCCCGAGTAGCGCTACCGAACCTACAACCTTGCGAGCACGTGCTTTTTGCAGAATATGTTGTACGGACCGTTTGCGAACTGCTACAAGCACCTGCATCTGCCCAGTTGCCCCATACCCTCCCAAGGAAAGTTGACTGACGACGACGACGACGACGACGACGACGACGACGACGGCGACAACTAACGCTGCTAATACTACCACTACGACCACTACGACCACTACTACTACTACTACTACTACTACTGCTGCTACTACTACTACTACTACTACTACTACTACTCCTGCTGCTGATTCTGCTACTGCTACTACCTCTGCTTCTACTACTCCTACTGCTGCTCCTGCTGACGCTGCCGCTGCTGCTACTGCTAGTGCTACGACCACGACGACGACCACTACCACGACGACGACCTGACCCCGACCACTACCACGATGACTACTGCTGCTGCTACTGCGACCACTACACCACTACCACTCGTTTAGGTTTTTCGTTGACAATGTAGGCCGGGATGTCCCAACCTCCAGAAGCCTTATCTAATCCGACTGTGCAGTTCTAAGAGGACAGCCCTTCGGCTGACGACCGGCAGTCAACTTGGTCCACAGAAAACAGCCACCCCGCACATGCAGGTGCGTCGTTTAGGGCCCATCGTAAAGAGCATTCTCACATCGGCCTTTACTTTCAGCCGATGCTCGGGTCCCGATAGTTGCTGCAAGCAAGGGGCTCAAGATAAGTTTCAGATTTATCTTCAGCGCCTCGAGCAATGCGGGAGAGGCTTTCGTGTGTCCGGTTCAAAAAGTCCCGAAGACCCCGGTAGCAAGGTCGTCTTTTCCAGGAATTCCCACCCCAGGAGCAGTACAGAACCAGAGTCTTATTGCGGGGTAAGTAAAGTGGATACAGCACCTCTTCGGGAAGACTTTGCTCAGCTTGATCGTCAAAATTCGTACTACTATTAAACTAATTATGCTTCTTCTTCTTCTCGTTATTCTTATTCTTATGTCCGCTCTGACCTGCTACCACAAGCGAAGCGATAGCCTCCAAAGGTGATCAACCTCGAGGTGAATTCCAACTTCAGCCTTATCCAGGCTGACAGCGCGGCTCGTGGGTACTTGGCAGGGTGGCTCACGGGAATATGCTACTTGTAGAGGATTGCACGTTAGGTTGAAGGGTTCTCAGCGCTTTAAAAAGGATCCTTTCCTGGGTATGCAGTGTTTCTGGCTGCCGTCGCCGGAGAGTGGTGTGAATCCTTTCCTCAACACCTGAGCCCCGTGACTCGAACTTCGATCACAGGCCGCAAGGCATACACCCATCGCCTACGGTTTGAAGCCTCCCTTACTCAAAGGATATGGGGCTTCGTAGCAAGGGTGATGAAGAAGCTAATTATCTATATTTATAATTTCTTAGCAACCAAATTCAGGTACGTACTCATCACCTTACTTACACAGTCCCCTGATCCTCCAAGCATAGGTACCCCAACTTCCGAAGCCAAGAGGCTCCCGGCGGGGCAGCCGCTGCTTGGGAGGAGCTGTGGGAACCTCTGTTGTAAGGGTGGTAATGTAGGAGCCTTAATAATTAGAACAGGGTTTTGGGAGTTCCTTAATATAACTATAGCATAATAACAATATACCCCAAAACCTCAGTCTAATTATTAAGATCAAGGCCCCTACATGTTTGCTGTGGGAGATCTTGCAACACGTACAGAGAAAAGGCAACATAGGGGGTCGGAACACTTAGCAATATCTAACTCTATATTCCTTTCAGTCCCCTCTTATTGTTATAGTATCATAATCCCCAAGACCAATTCCAATTACTCAGGCTCCTGAAATTTTTCTACCTTACATTCAGGAATCTGCACTGTGAGAGGCAGAATGGCCGCCCGACCCGTGCATGCGTGTTACGAGCTTTCGGAGGGTCTCGAAGACTGAATTTAGGGTTTTGAGTTTTGCACGTTGACAGTGACCTGACACTTTGTTGCGGAATCTGGCACCAATCACGTAGCCATAACAGTTAGAACAACACACATCATCATCATAAACATCATAACTGACAATAAAATCCTCTTCGTACTCAAATTCATAATAGACGTAGTTAAGTGTATTTCCTAAACCCTAAACCCTAAACCCTAAACCCATTTTCAGCTTCGTGCTACCACAAACAGCCAAGAGGCTCCCGGGTCGAAAGTTTGGGTACTGCTGGGACAATTGCAGGGCCCTGTTACAGAGTAGGTTTTAGGGTTTAGGGTTTAGGGTTTAGGGTTGTTGGGGGTACTTGGGGTTTCGGGTGTAGGATTTAGGGTTTGGGGCTTCAACCCTAAACCCTAAAAGCCCTAAACCCTAAACTCTAAACCGTTAGGGTTCAGAGTGTAGGAATTTGAAGCTGTGACCAAGGGCCGGAGAGTACGTGCCGAAGCTCTCAGCCTTGTTGCATCACGCCCCTGCTACGGTGCCTAAGACATGACCAACCACTGGACCACTAATGTGGCGGCCTGAATGGTTAGACTAGGGTTTTGGGGGCCCATTATACCATACTTTGTAATGAGGAGCCCCAAAATAGTATAGGTAATTATTAAGGCCCCTATATCAGAGATGTTGGGGATTATGGGTAGAGGCATGGACATCGCGCAGGTCATTCAAGCATTCTTGGTTTTACATTGTGTTTACACGTGATGGTGCATAATTAATGTTGAAAGGATGAAAGAAGCCTCACTGTCACAGTGTGCGTGACAGAGTATGCAGGATTCTTTGCACGAGTTCTATCCAGTACGGCTTTGAAGCAGAGGAACCTTGCCATTATGAAGACGCAAGCGCAACACACAGCAAACAGGTCAAACCCGACGCCGAAGTCTCTACAGCTTCACTGGAGGAAGGGCCAGATAGAAGCGGACACCCAAGCTTGGAGCAAAGCCCAATTGTGCGATCGACTGCCAAGGCTCTTGCCTTTTATCGGTCCTGAAGTTTGGCGTGCTGAGATCGAAGACGTGGCCAAAGCTGTGTCAGGACTCCAGAACTCCCGCCTGGGTTGAACTTGGAAAGGGGGCCTTCATTGGCCTTTCTGGGGACTTGCAATCTTCGGCAGACCCCAGGCTTCACAGTTGTTTTTGGGTGTAGGGTTTAGGGGAGTGAGGAGGATACCAGCACATGGAAGTTGTAGGAGGTTGGGGGCGGGAGGAAAGTCCGGGCGGGAGCGGAAGGGCTTGCTCGCCCGACATAGACCCTGCATCAACAGCTTTGTCTATGCCATAATGATGTTGTTGTCAATGTGCGTTGCATTATGCGTATTCGTATTGTTGTTGTTTCCATTTTCAGAAGAAGTAGTAGTAGTAGCAGTAGCAGTAGCAGTAGTAGTAGTAGTAGTAGTAGTAGTAGTAGTAATAGGAGTAGCAGTAGCAGTAGCAGTGGCAGTGGCAGTGGCACTAGCAGTAGTAGTAGAAGTAGTAGT